TCCCAGCTGTCTGTAGAGCGATTGACCATGTGTGGAATGATGCCATTGCCAAATACTGGTGGAATGGAATATTATATATGATATTTGCCAAAATAAAGAGAAGGCCTACTAGTGTAGTGGTTATCACGTTTGCTTTACACGCAAAAGGTCGTGAGTTCGAGCCTCACGTAGACCAATTTTTTGCTTTTATATTTACGTACTTTTCGAAATACTCAGTTATTTCTCTTTGTTGTTGGTGGTGGTAGTGTATGTATGTTATAAATAGGAGAAGTCATTGTTATATAACAAAGCGGGAGGTGTTATACAAACTGTTTCTTTTAGTTTTGTATAACAGTGTGTTTTTAAAAGTTGTTTTACTGCGAATATGAGATCAATCCATTTGGATGATTAAATTGTGAAAGTAATCACAAGTAGGTCGAAGTGAAACACTGCGATGGATAAGTGGATTGATATTACGATGAGAATAGGCTTAGGATTGCATTGTATTTATGTGGAATCGTTTACTGTGAGTGTGTATGTGTTATCTTGATTGAACGGAATGTTTCTTGGGGTAATTAACCTAATCCACAACAAGGTGCGATGACTCCTTTCTGGGAATAGTCGTAATATGTGAAAAATGGAGTTGATGCTGGAATAATTGGAGTCTTTGTATACTTTTGCTTTAGAATTGACTTTTTAAAAGGAAATTCTATGTAAGGATTTATCCTGTACATGCAAATGTGAATTCTAGTTGATGGAACCGATGGGTAAAAGAATGGTAAATATCGGTTATCTAATCTATATACTATATAAATATAAATATATTATAGTCTTATTGGATCATGAAGTACCAAATTATGGAGTTCTAACTATTGTGATACATGATTCATATTTGTAATGAAGATAGACTAATATATTGCTGGATGAGATATATTGAAAGCACATTCCATGATGAGTGAGAAACTCAATTCTTTGCATTTTGTATTGATATGGATTGTATACTTGAAAACTGTCTTTATTTTTAAATTTTATGAAGAATGTTCTTGATTGGATACTAGAGAGGTTCATTATTAGTGTTATCTTTAGTGTTTCGTGAATTCCAAGAAACTTAGCTATATGATTGATGGATAACGGCGATTGATAAGTCGATTCAAATTGCATGTGGGCATTTGAATATTAAGTATTATCATTTCTCTTATTTCAACACACCCTTTCTTATTATCAATTCTAACGGTTGTTGCTAAGCATCTCTAAGGGGGAAATAGGTTTTTGCTTTGGAAGTGGGTATATTCACGTGGTTTTAAGAAGATGGTAATTTGTTGAAGAGCCAGACTTGGTGCGGTTTTTCCCAGTACAATGGTTTATAATAAACAAGGCGACCGAATTCGTTTTGTTGACTTAATAGTCATTAATGTCCAATATCCGCGATTATATCATGGCTCAAAGAAAGACGTTTTTAAAGTATTTCATTTTTTTATTCGATGCAACCTGTTTCAACCTCTCCCGTAAATACACCAAATGAAGTGAATAACCAAGCAACTGGACCTATTCCCGCAGCCGCCATTCCTATGCAACCCGCTCAACCTGGCCAGCCCTTACCTCCTATGCAACCCGGACAGCCCATGCAGCCCATGCAGCCCATGCAACCTATGCAACCTATGCAGCCCATGCAGCCCATGCAGCCTGTTCAGCCTGTTCAGCCTGTTTATCCAGGACAGCCTGTTTATCCAGGACAGCCTGTTTATCAGGGCCAACCCGCCCAACCTATGGTACCTATGGTACCTGTGGGTCCTAATGGCGCTATCGATCCGAAGTTTGCACCCGTTCCGAGTCAGTATGACCCGTCAGGTCCCTCTGTAGCTGATTTCGGAAAGCATCTCGATGTTTTGAATAATTGTAGGATTGCCGTCTGATCTTAAATGTAGTTGGAGGGCTGTACATTAAACAGCGCGTTGAAGTTCTTGAGCTAGTTACTGGCTTCGAGACCGAGAATAAGTATGATGTGTTTTTGACGGGTGCGGATTGCGTGCGTGGAAGCAACCAGCAGCCCTATTTCTCTGCTCACGAGAGCTCGGACTGCCTCCAGCGCCAGTGCTGTGGCAGTATGCGTGCATTCAACATGACGATTTGCAGCCCAGACGGCCAAGTAGTTATGAAGCTGGAGCGACCGTTCAAGTGTCAAGGTCGATTTTCTAGAAGTGTTCTGAGGTGTAGTGTGCTGCTGCTTCTTCCTCCCAGAGCTGCACATCTATGATGGCGCGGATAACAAGATCGGATCGGTGCACAACCGGTTCACCTGCTGCAGCGACGAGTTTACCATCTACAACCACGAAGACATGCCCGTTATGTCAATCCATGGAGACTGCTGCCAGTGGGGAAAGTTCTGTACTTGCCCCTGCGGCCCTTGCGCGGAGTAGGGATGATGCGGGAGGATGAGATGTAGAGTCACTTTCGATATTTTAAAGGGAGAAACGCAGTCGAGTGGGTTTATTAAGAAGATCTGGTCTGGAGCGGCGGAGGAGCTGTTTACGGATGCTGATTCTTTCATCCTTCAATTTCCTCCTGATGCAACTGTGTACGACAAGATGCTTCTTCTAGGTGCGGTGTTCCTCATTGACTTTATGTTCTTTGAGAACAACCAGAATGATAGTGATACAAAAAGATAATTCTGGTTTGGAGGTGTGTTTGTTCTATACATAAGCGATTGTCAATTGGATGTGATGTAATGTGATGTGAATTTCTTATTCTTCTTCATTTGGACAAAATCGATTGAATCAAAAAAAGAATAAAAATGCAGGTCCTACCGGGGCTTGAACCCGGATCGCAGAATTCAAAGTCCTGAGTGATAACCATTACACTATAGGACCTCACATTTTGGCTTGTAGTTTATTGTATTTATGAATCTGTTTTGGGGTCAATCAATTGTTTTGCTTTTTGATTAGGTATGAGTAAGGAATGGGAAATAGTGATATCTATCATGTGGTATTTTGCTATTGCACTCCTTTGTTCAATGATTTAGTTCGTTTTTATCCATTCATCCTTTTTCGTATTGTGAAGTGTTATTTCTAGCTTATCCGTATGTATTTATCCTAGAGTATATTTGATTATCAATGGAATAAAGACAAATGAGAAACTAAAATCGGATAATCCTTCTTAATAGTTCACAAAAATCACAGCCAATAGCAATTCCTATCAGAGTGCATAAAGCAACATTTGAATCAGAATGATATACATTATTCTCTAAATACAATTCAATTCAAATACCCACTTGTCAGAATACCTCCCGATCTTCATTGTATTGTATTTTCTCTGCTCCCTTTCCTTTTACGCAATGAATCCGAAGAAGGCAAGCTCAAGACTTAGTTTTGAGCAGAAAATGAAGTATGTGAGTTTGGTATTACTGGTTTTCTTCACCAGCGCCCAGATTCTCTGCATGCGATATGCAAGAACAAGAGAAGACAGTAAGTATGATTCGAACACAGCCGTCTTGTTAGGAGAGGTGTTCAAGCTGATTATGTCGTTTTTGCTGTTGTCATCAGAGAAGGGAGGCTTGAGGAAAGCCTATGGGCAATTGGAACTGGAGAGAACGAACCATCAACGCGATGTACTGCTCCACGCCGTTCCTGCACTTCTCTATACAATTCAAAACAACTTCATGTATCTGGCAATATCAAATTTGGATGCTGCAGTATTTCAAGTGTGTTCTCAGTTAAAGCTCATTACCGCTGCAATATTCAGTGTGACTTTCCTGAAGAAGCAGATCTCGAGCTTCCAATGGCTTTCTCTGTTTATCTTGGGAGTAGGCTTAGTCTTGGTGAATATGAGATCTGGGTCGAGTGCAGATCTATCAGAAAACACGAATATGGTACTTGGTCTGTTCTCAGTGCTTGTCTTTTGCTGTACCTCTGGTTTCGCTGGAGTATTCATGGAGAAGCTATTTAAGGATAATAAGTTCTCGGTCTGGTCCCGAAACATTTGGTTGGCGCTGTTTAGTATCCTGTCGGGCGTTTTGGGTATTGTCTTCAAAGACTGGAGGTTATTAATACCCTCTAACTTCTTTAAGGGATACTCATTCTGGGCGTGGCTCGCAGTGATCCTTTTAGCGATCGGCGGTTTGATTATCGCGATGGTGCTAAAGTATGCGGATAATATAATAAAGGCTTTCGGGAACGCTGCTTCGATTGTAGTGAGCACGTTCCTCTCGGTGTTCTTGTTCGATTTTGTGATTACAAGCAATTATATTTGCGGTTGTGTTCTCGTAATCATAGCGATTGTGATGTATTCGTCTGGACAAAAGAAATAGTGTGATTGTTTGATGAAAAACACGATTCCAGTAGCTTTTCTTATAATTTTCCCGACTTTTTACCATATATATGTTTGAAGATATTGTAAGTACTCTATTATCAACTTATCTTGGTGATTATCTTGAGGGTATTTCAAGAAAGGATCTGAAGTTATCCTTGTGGAAAGGTGATGTGGAACTCAAGAATTTGGTATGGATACACGTGGTAGTTTTCACCTTATAGCGTGTAAAAACCGAAGCCTTGGATTTTCTCAATTTACCCATCCAAGTGAAGGAAGGATTCGTGGGAACACTCAAGTTAAAAGTAGGTCCTGTGTAGCATCTGAATCGACAGATTCCTTGGAAGAAGCTTAGCAAGAGCGCAACCCAGATCCAAATAGATGATGTTTTTGTGATCGCTTGTCCCAAGTCCGAGTTAAAGTATGACGAAAAGCAAGAATTAGAGAACGCGCAGAATCGAAAGAAAGAACAGCTTGCTGTAAAATTCTTTTTATAGTATCTGATGTAGGCTATTGAAGATAACGAGGTCCGCATGAATGAGGAACTATCCGCCAAAAACGACAATTCGACGATGGCTCGACTTATCGCCAAAATTATTGATAACCTTCAATTAAGCATCAACCGTGTCCACATCCGTTTTGAAGACCATTCCTCTTGTCCAGGACATGATTTCGCTGCTGGTCTAATTCTGGAAAAGCTCTATCTCTTCTCTCCAGAACAGAAAAAGAGCGGCGATCTTTTGCCAGGCGTGATGCAAAAGAAGGTGGAGCTGAGTCGTTTTGGCATCTATTGGGACTTCGACGAATCCATGCAGATCCAAACCAAAAACGCGGAATCCATCCAAAAGGAAATGACTCTTGCCTTCTCCGACGCAGCCTCCGTGCCCAGCGAGAAGCGTGGCTTGTACCCAACGCACTGGATCATCGATCCGATCTCTCTGTCTCTGCTGACCAACGCGGACATCCGCAAAGTGGAGCTTCGCAAGCCGGAAGTGTCGGTCGCGATCGCGGAAGTGTTGCAGACCCTGCAATGGTCCGAGAAAGTGAGTGAGACCAAGCGGTTAGTGGACGCGTACAAGCATGTCCGCGAAGATGAAGTGCGAGGCCGCACCGCGGAGCAGGAATGGGCGTTGATGCGCGCTCATTTGGAGGCGGAATATCCCGGAATGTACTACGACAACGCTCTGAAAGTGGCCGAGGATTTCTGCTATCGATGCTGGGACGTGTCGAATCGGCCGAACCCGATCATGGAGATCTCCGGAGATATCAATCAAGTGATGGTGCAGTTGGATCAGAAGCAGTATCGCGATATGCTCGGGTTTATCAGCTCGCTGAACACGCAGACGCTTCGAGCGCGGTATAAGCAGTTTAAGCCGCAGGAAGACGATCCGGAATCGAACCCTCGGAAGTGGTGGCAGTTTGCGATCAAGTCGGTGATGTGGGAGAACGCGAAGAAACGCGCAAATAAGGGATGGGATGACTACGTGCGATTCAAGAAGCTGCGAGCGGAATATATCGAATTGTACAAACTGAAGAGTCAGGATAAAGACTTGATGAAGAAGGATCCGAAAACGATCCAGCGATTAGAGAAGCTTGAAAGCAAGCTAAGTCTCGAGAATATTCTTCTGTTCCGGAAGATCGCGCTTCAGGAAACAGAGCACGAAGCGCAGATCAAAAAGAAGAAGGCGGCGAAGGAGCCGAAGAAAGAGAAGGGCTTTATCCGAAACCTGTTCAAAAAGAAGCAAATCGAGACGGAAGAGGACGGGATTACCGAGGAAGATCTGCAATGGGACGAGGCGAAGAAACTCCAGTTGCTCGCTGAGTTCGATATTCAGCCGAACGAAATGTCTCCGTGGGAAGGAGGACGGCCCACCGACATCCAGCTCACCGCGCAGCTCCGCATTCCCAAGATGGGAATCGTGCTGACCACACAGCATTCCTCGCTCCTGGTGTGTTCTTTGGAGCAGCTCGGCGTGCAGGTGACCAAAATGAAGAAGTACATGCAGGTGTATTCCTGCATCGAAGGTCTGCGTGTGGAGAACGGATCGCAGCAGAGCGAGAAATGGCCGTATCTCGTCTATACCGAGCAAGACGCTCTGGTTGATACCAACAGCGTGACTCGGTTCCTTCCTGAAGGGCTGTACACGCAAGAGCGCTCTCTCCCCTTCCTCCAAATGGCTGTGGAGCTTCCTTCGCTTCAGAAGGACGTGGACGTCACAGTCAAGCTGCAGACGCTTCCGCTCTGTGTCGTGGCCAACACTGCGTGCGTGATGGAACTGGCCGCATTTTTCATTCCCGAGCTCGCCAAACTCAACTTTGCGGCGCTCAGCGCGTCAGCCAGCTCGATCTACTCGCAGCTCTCCTCCAGCAACAAGCTTCGACTGAAGGCCAGCAAGGAGGTTCTTTCGCACAAGACGGTTGGGCTGGACGTGTTTATGGGCGCACTGCACATGATCATTCCCGAAGATATCCGGGAAGACGTAACGCACACGCAGTCGCTGGTGGTGCGATGCGGAGATCTCCGTGTGTTCAGCGATCCTCGGCGAGTGAGCGTGGACGAAGAGCTCTCGGAAGAGAACATTTACGATCGGATCGATGTGAGTGTGATGCGAATGAGCGTACTCATGACGAACCAACATGCGGATTGGGCGCGCACCGACGTGCAGCAGAAATTCGACTTGTGCGTGGTGGATAATTTCGATGTGCAGTGCCAGATCGGACTGAGCATTTCGCCGTCGACGGCTGAGTTCGCCACGACCCTGATTCAAGCGAATATGAATATGATCCACGTCCGACTCACGAAAACGAAATGCATTAGTCTGACTCGCTATCTCTTCTCTGTGCTCGCGAATGTCTCCGAGATTATCGCGAACAGTCACGTGGATTTCTCGGGTCTCACGGAGGAAGCCAAGATCCTGGTGAGCAACACGCTGGCCGCGGCCAATCGAAGAGAGATCGACAGCACTGCGAAGGACGAGCAGAAATCGGAAGAGCGGATCGAAAGCATTTATTCGGAAGAAGAGCAGCGATTGCTCCAGCGGAATCGGATTCTCTCGCTGAACGCTACGTTTGAGGGAGTGAACGTTCTGATCGAGGAGGTGTCGTCGGCCAATGAGCACACGAAGATCGTGGACAGCACAGTTGCGGGACTGAACGTGTGTGTGGAGACGCGAACGTACGATGTCGACGTGCGTGTGAGTCTGCACAAGATCGAAGTGCTGGACTGCATCCAAACGGCCTCGCGCCGAACGAACAAGTACCTCGTGCTCTCGCAGCCGGTCAATAAAAAGGGAGAGATCTGTCCCGAGGAAGACTCCAAACTCGTGAAAGTGAATGTGGGAATCGTGAACGAAGCGTCTCCCGACTACTCCAAAGCGGAAAGTGACGTGCGAGTGGAGTTGATCTTTGGTGTTCTGAGTGGTAGGAATCAAGGACTGGATTGGATGATGTGTAGTAATGGTGTATCGTCCCACGATTTATCATCTGCTTCGATTCATCGCCCCCATTCTCGAAGGAGAGGTTACCAAACCGACCCATGAAGTCGCTCCTGCGAAGCATCGTCGTTCTCTCAGCTCTTCTTCCTCGGTTTCCTCCGCCGCTCCCGACAGTGATCAGGTCTCGGTGTCTTCTCGCGCCGCAGAGCTCATCACAAGCAAAAGCCGCAATTTAGCGAAAGCGGAGCAGTCGAAGCCGCTCCCAGCGGACTGGGAGAAAAAGCAAGTGAAGGTTATACTGAAGCTCGGAAGTGTCAACATGCTGCTCGTCACCGATCGGGGCCTCCCTCTTCTCTACGCGAGCATCACTGGAGTCGATTTTTCATTCACCGTCTCTCCAGCATTGGTCGCCGTTGCGGGAGGTCTCGAAGACATTTCGGTTTGGGATATGAGCGAGGGATGCGGTTACCACTCTCCGATTCTGTCCATTCTTCGCACAGAGGATCAGTCGGCGTTCATCGCACTTTCGTGCACGCTGTATTCCGACGTGCGCTATCCGAGCTATCCGGGATATCCGATGGCGATTTCGGGTACGATCTGCGCGCCTTCGGTTTCGATTCGGATGCGATACATCGACGAGTTGAAGCATTACTTCCTTGCAGGACCGATCGCTGATGGCTTGGCGCTGCTGAGCAAGAAATCGAAAGAGGAAAATGAGGCGTCGTCTGCGTCGATGGTTCCAATGCCCAAACTCGAAACGATCGAAGAATCCATCGACGATGAAGAAGAAGAAGAAGATGCCAAATCGAAAACCGAGCCGACGGAGTCAACGCAAGCAAAAACGATCTCACTGAAGGACAGCATTCGAGAGTCCATTCTCCTGCTCGGCAAGAACTATTTGATTATGGACCAAAAGAAGCTGGAGGATGTCCCCTTCGAGCTTCCTCTCATCAACGTCGTGGTGAATAACTTCCAGATTTCACTCCCTGTGGCTTCGGATTCGCAGGAAATGGCTACTTTTGAAATGGGGCGTTTCAGTGTGCAGAATCAAGCATTGCATCGTTTCCCCGATTCCAATCAGGTCGATCGTTCGTCCGTGAAGTCCACACTAAACACTGTGCGCATCGCCATTACCCAAATGAAGGCTTCGACCCACATTGCTTCTGCTTCGGGTGTTTCCTCGCTGGCTCTTCTTGGAGGTATTGATCTCTCCGTCGTGGCGGTCATCGCAAATCAAGCCGAAGTGAACGCTCAGATTACCAAGATGGCCTTGACGATGAACGAGCGGCAGCTAACTCTCTTCGCTCATATTATGAATGGAAACTTCAAGGAAACTGCGGTCGTGATGGAAGACGAGATCGTTCCCAAAGAAAAAGAAAAAGAAGCCAAAAGACCATCGGTTTCTCCAACGCCATCGTCGGCAAGACGAATGCCGCGTCGAAGCAAGCGATTGAGCGGCCTGCCGGAGCTTCTAACGGTCGAGGAGGAAGCGAAGGAGGACGAAGTGGTGTTTGGGAAGTTCCTCCGCGCGCAGTTCTCGTTCGACGGCGTTTGCTTGGAGCTGCTGAGCGGAACCGAAGGCTACGACTCGCAGATTGTTGGTCAGGAAATCTACAACCAGATGGGAACGCTCAAGAACTCGATCTCCTCGATCGATATCGGCGTGATTCAGGCGTCGCTCAATCTCCGAAAGACCGAACTCTCCGCCGGTCTTTCGCTGTCGCACGTCGTGTTCACGGACACGCGCTCGACAACTTCGATCGATTCGGCCTACCGCGTACCTCTTTCGTTCGGAGCTCATTCGAAACCCGCGATTTCTGCGCTAGTCAGCGTCACCAACCGCGATATTCGCACGTTTAAGGAGTTGGAGCCGCTGTATGGAAAGGGAGAAAACGTGGTACAGGACATTCAGGCTTCGGTCGCGGTGGGCTCGATGCGTTTGATCGCCACGCCGTGGATCTTCGATATCGTGGATATTCTGCAGAACATGGTGAAGGACATCAAGATCGAAGAGTTGGAGCAGCGAAAGAGAGAAAGGGAAAGGGAAAGGGAGAAGGAGAAGGAAAGAGCGAGATTGGAGGCGGAAGGTGAAATCGAGTCAAAAGAACCGGAAGTCGAAGAGAACAACGCGCAGGAAGAGCAGGAAGCGAAGAAAGACAAACCGCCATTCGGTCCGCACATTTCTGCCGATTTGCGAATGGAAAATCCCGTTCTCTACATCATCGAAGACCCCTCGAAGGCGGACTCGTCCTCTTTCATCGTCTCGCTCGCCGTGTCGGCCAGTGCGGCCATCTCTCCTCTGCAGAACGTGGATGCTGCCGTTCGAGTCAGCGACATTCGCTGCTGCCGCTCGCACCCTTCCGATGTGGTTCTTCCGCCTCCGGGCCTGATGGACGCGCTCTCGCCGTTTGATATCAACGTGAACGTTCACTCGCTGAATAACTTCTCCGATCTGAAGGGAACGCTCATGACGAATCATGATGTGGAGTTACGAATTGGCGTTGTGGACGTGAAACTCCTCATGAACGCGTACATGAACTTGCTTCCCTTCGAAGTGAGAGAGCGAATGAAGGAGAAGAAAGAGCAGAAGCCGATCGAAAAGATGGAAAAGGAGCTGGTGGAGCCGAAGCAGGCGCGCGAGCTGCTTTTGAACTTCAAAGTGATGTTGAATTCGTTTTCGATTACGGTGGTGAATGACACGAGCGATTACGAGATTCCGATTATGATGATGAAGGTCGGAGATGTTGGAGGCGATATCGTGATGACGGAGAATGATTCGAAGATGGATTTCGGCTTCTGGATGGTGGCTGAGTATTATAATGTCCAGCTAACAGTTTGGGAGCCTGTTTTGGAAAAATGGGATTTGAAGCTGCAAGTGAATCAAGAGAAACGAGATCGCATTGTAAGTGTTTTTTTGGTGAATCATGGAATAGATTCAGCGATTGACTGCTTCTTCATCATCTGTTTCTGCTTCTGCTTCTGCTTCGAAAGAGGGATCGGCTGCGATTATGAAAGTCGTGCTGACCACACCCGAACTAATGAATCTAAACCTCTCTGCCTCGTTCATCAAAGCCGTTCTGAGTTCGGTGAACGCGCTGGTGGAGTGTAGCGATACTGCACAGAAGATTGGCGACTCGTTCTTCATCGGAGTTCGCAACAGCACGGGCGAAGTGATGACATACAACGTTCTGAATGATAACGGAGTCACGGAATTGATGCGAAAGAGAGTGAAGCGAGACGATACGGAAAAGCTGGACGACGGCATCTTTGCAGGTCTCACGAACTTGATGGTGCAGGGACAAATGAACACATTCTGGTGTGCGATTCACTCCACCTCGCCGCGTCTTCGGATCTACAGCGTGATTCCCACGGAGACGGACTTCAAGCCGCTGTTCTGCACGGACGACGTGACGATGGGCGTGGATTCGGAGGAGAAGATCTTCTATCCCGTCTGCTCGTTCGAAAACGTCGAGATGTTCGTCGGGAGTGAAGACATTCGACAGGAATGGCAGAAGGCAATTCAAGCTTCCCACTCGGCGACTCCCATCCAGATTCAGCCTCGCGTGAAGTCCATGTATTTGGACCCCTCCGCCACGCTCTCGCTGAGCTCTCATTCCTCCGTGCTGGTGACTACGCTTCCAGCTCACCCGTCCTTAACGCTGCGCTATTATCAGAAGCCATATCGAAAGCTGCAGCCGCGAACCATCCAGCTCAGTCTGGAGAACTTCGATCCGTTCGTCTGCGAAGTGGATCGAACGCTCTCTGGCTTCATCACGTTGGATAACGGAGTCACGACGCGCGATGTGTTCATCGAATCGACCATCGAAAAGGGAAGAAAGATTCTGAACTTGTGTTCTGCGGTAAGCATTCAGAACTTCTCTGGAAACGATTTGTGCTGCGGGTTCGGCGAAGAAGTGAGTTTCAGCGAAATCGCGTACGCGGAAGTCACGTCGTTGCAGCTGAAGCGGAATGAGCGGCAGTGGATGAATGTAGCGAACGCGACAGGCTTGTTCTTGGGCCAAGCCGGAGAAATGACGTGCTGCTTGAATCTGGAAGAGATCCTCACCATGAAAGGACATCGAATTGTGAACTTGGGATCGGAAGAAGCTCCCTTGTTCACCGTGCTGACGTGCCGAAAGAAGATGGTGCGGAATGTGGAAAACAAGGCGGATTATCGAGAAACCTATCTGATTACCGTGGCGGATATGGCGCGAATGGAGAACTTGCTGCCCGTTCCTCTGAACTATATGATCATTTCGAAGGAGGAAAGTCTGGTGCGGGGAGAATTGGGAGTCGGAGAGATCGGATCGCTGACGCAAACGCAGTTAGACGAGGATAGCAACTATCGAATTGCTCTGCAGCTAAAGGACGATGTGATCAATTACTCGACCTACGACTGTTCGATTTCGGTAAGCGAGCGGATGACGGAATGAAGCGTAGCTTTCCCGCAAGAGCGGAACGGTGCATATGGAGAACAAGTTCAAGTACAGATATCTGAATCTGTCGTATGTGGTGTCATGCGATGAATATCATTCCCTGTTTATTCAGGTCTACGCGGACTATTGGGCGATCAACAAGACGGGCGATCCAATCATGTAAATGGAGTCGAGAAAGAGACATTCCTTGTAGATTGCGAGACAACAAATGTCGTGACTACGTTTACGAACTTCCCTCCTATCCAGTCACGTTGAAGAATAAATCGGAAACGGTCTGTTCGAAGGAGGAGCGAATCATGCCGACACTCATCTCCGTGAAGAAGAAGGAAAAGAACGACACGATGTACATGACGCTCCCCGATTACAACAACTTCTCGGAGACTTTCAGCATCAACACAGCGGGCTTTTTCGGCACCATTGCGCTCGACTCCAAGGATAAGAAGAAGCCGCAGAAGAACTACGCGGTTTCGATTAGTCGGGCTCCCGGTATCTTCGCTCGCTCGCTCGTCGTAACGCTCTCTCCGCTCTACATCATCATGAATCAAAGCGGAATGTCCGTTTCACTCCGCCAAGTCGGGGACGACGACGACAACAACGTGATTTCGCTGGAGAATAAGGAGTACGCTCCGTTCCATTGGCCTTCTTCCAAATCGCACTCGCTGCAGCTCTTTATCAAGGGACTTGGCTATGAGTGGTCGCAGCCGTTCGAGCTGGTTCCCTCGCATTTGTCCCTGCAGATGAAGAAATGCCGAACGCTTCGAAGCGAGCACGATGTGTGGGAGAAGGAGAACACGGAGGATCCGATGGTCGCGGAATACAGCGTGGTGCAAGTGGATATCACGATGGTCAAAGCGCAGTGCTACGTGTTCATCAAGAAGATGGTTTGCTCAGAATCAATTCTTCACGCATAGGATCCCAACTACATGCCGTTCTGTATTTCGAACAACACTGCATTGGACAGCATCACGATTCGACAGGATCGTTCGTCGTTGGGCAGTGCCATCACGCTTCCTCCGCTCTCGTCGCAGCTCTGGACGTTACCGCTCGTCGACGGCCCGCAGAAGATCCACATCACCACTCAGCGAATCGGAACCGAGCTCTCCAATTCCTGCTTCGTCACGCCGTTAGCCCCGGATATCACGAAGCCCGGAAAACTGGGAACCATCCAACTCAAAGACCCACAACGAACGCTGAGCGTTTCGCTGGAGATTCAGAAATCGATGCGTGTGATCGTGATCGAAGAAGTGAACAAGAAGCAGTTCTTCTCGAAAGTGACCGAGAAGAATTTGATCCATTATCTGCTCGAGAGACGACGCGATTTGACGACGATTAACAACGAGGTGAAAGACACGCTGGAGAAATACGACACGGCAATTCAGAATTACATTCAAGAGCAAGAGAACTCAGGGTCTGGCATCCCTCCTTCCGCGTGTTTCACCTATCTCCAGGTCGTTTGCAGCTACAGCGATTCGTTCGGCGGACAGTCGATGCGAGGCCAAGTGCAAATGCGTGTGAACGGGAAGGACCTGGAGACGTCGAGCGAGCGAGGCACGGTGAATTACTACGGATTTACCGCGATTGCGAACGATATGGACAAGATGGATATGTCATTAGAACTCCACACAGATCTGCTGCGCAAAGAAGTGGGCAGCGCAGTCCTCCCGTTGGATCAGTTCAAAGAGAAGGACCGTCTCTACGATATCATTGTCCCCTTCTCTTCGAAAGACGCGGGACAGATCGGCTATGTGAATGTGCGCTTCGTGAACACGGTGGCGCAGCAGATCGCCGAGGTGGCCTTCAAGAAAGCGGAGCTCGAGCTCCAGCTGGGCCTCATCGAAACCACGCTGCAGAAACTGCATATGGAGGCGTATCTCGAGCGAACGCTGAGCAAAAAGAAATCGAAGACGTCCGGGAAATCGTCGCGCCACGTGCTTCGTGCGACGCATTCCGGCGTGTACAGTCCGCGCTCCCCTTCGAGTTCGTCGTCTTCGCAGTCGCTGCTGCCTCCAATGCTGTCGAGTCTGTCCAGATCGTCGAGTTCGTCGAGCCCGACGAGCAGTCGATCGTTCAGCATGAGCTATTCTTCGTACGGCTCGACGCTCTCGCTGGAGCAGTTGCAGTCGCTCGATAACGAAGAGATCGCGGACGATATGGAGTCGAAGATGAACTACTGCGTGTCGATCGACAAGCTCAAAACGCTGCTGGGACTCAGCACGTTGGAAGGCTGCTACATGACGCTCAAGATCGGCAGCTCCGTTCTGCGCACCGTCGTTTCCTCCGATCTCTACTCCGAAGAGCGAGGCAGTCCGCGCGAAATCCGCCTCGCCGTGAACTCGCTGAACTTCGGCTGCGGCTTCGGAAAGAACGGCAACGCGACCATCGTGAACTCGGTGGACCACAACAGTCTGGCGGAGCAGCAGGGCATTCAGGTGGGCGATGTGCTCACCGCGGTGAACGACGGCGATATCCCGCCGACCATTGAGGAGCTGGACATGCTGCTGCACTCGTGCAACGAAAACGTGCTGGACTTCTTAGCGAAGTATCCGGACACGGCGATGTGCGCGCGGTTCGGACAGCAATTGATCTTCCCGAAAGGCGTGACGGTGGGCGAAGCGATCATGACGATCAACGTGTATAAAGAATCGGACGAGAGCGAGGAGGACACGTTGCTGGTGTCTTGTGACATGCCGATCCTTCGAGAGAGCGACGTGGGACTTGATATCTATCTGGGATCGGAGTTCTCGTGCTCGCTGTCGACGAGCTGGTCGTCGTTTGATCCGGAAGAAGAGCTGATCAAGATGGACGTGTCGGTGAATCTGCGAGGAATCGGTCTGAGTATTATCAACGAGAAGCCCGAAGAGCTTCTCTATTTGAGTCTGAACAAGATGGTTCTGAACATGAGCATGTACGAGAATGGAAAGATCGAAGCGGAGACGATGCTGAACACATTCCAAGTGGATAATCAGGTGCAAATGGCTCGCTTCCCCGTTCTCTTCGGCTCTCCGTTCGACACTTCCAAGATGAATTGGCTGCACGCGGCTGTGATCATTCTCCCGCATCCCTCTGTGCTGTACATCGAGTACTGTTCCGTTCTGATTCAGGTACTTTCTATTTGGATGGATTGAGTGAATAGGAAATGAAGATTTCGGCCGATTCGAACATTCTGAACCAGCTTCTCCAGTTCATCAGCGATCTCCCACTCGATCTTCTCCAGATTTCCACCAAGGATCCGCTCGAGAAGCTGAACGACTATCCCGAATTCATCGCGTATTTCCCACCCATGGCGCTCAGATTTAGACCGCTTCTGATCCCCGACAGCACTCTCAACTCCACGTCGCTCTTCGCTGAGCAGTTGGAGCTCCAGCCGCTTCTGCTGACGCTCACGAACAAAATCGATCCTGCCTATCCGCTCACGTCCTCCGTTCTGCCCTCCATCCCGATCTTAATCCCGCTGCAAGCGCTCATCGACACGTTCGGAGCGCTTCTCGGCAACGTGGACAACGCACAGATCAAACTGAGCTCCTTCCTCACCGAGAATCTCTTCATGACGCAGAACGATCTCATCGATCGGCTCCGCATGCACTACGTCAAAGAGCTCATTCGGCAGCTCTACAAGATCATTGGCTCTTTCAACCTGCTCGGAAACCCCATCGGCCTCGCCGAGAACATCACTTCCGGCGTGAAGGCCTTCTTCTACGAGCCCATGCAGGGTCTGGTTCGCTCGCCGAAGGATTTTGCGACAGGATTGGGCCGGGGAACGAAGACGCTGCTGATGAACACGACGTTCGGCGTGATGAACACGGTGGGGAAGATCACGGGAACGGTGGCGGATGGGCTGTCGACGCTGACGATGTCGGAGGAATACAAGAACGATCGCGCGGCCGGGAAGGGCGGCATTATCTACGGCGTGAAAGAAGGCGTGACGGGCGTGTTTAAAGACACGTACAACGGAGCGAAGAAGAAGGGACTGCTCGGCGCAGCGACGGGAATGGGCAAAGGACTGCTCGGGTTTGTAGTGAAGCCGGTAGTGGGCGTCGTGGACCAGACGACGAAGGTGATCGATTCAGTGAAGGGCGTGACGCAGGTGGAGAAGACGATCTCGCGTCTGCGCAACCCGCGGTACATCTACAAAGACCACTGCATTGCGCCGTTCAACGCGTACTTAGCAGAGGGACAGATGCTGCTCGCAGCGTCGAAAACAAACTCGCAAGTGCCGACGAACGAGGAATACATGATGCACGTGATCGTCGATTCGAAAACGGCTTTGCTGATGGGCAATTCGCGGTTTGTTTGGGTGGATCGAACCACTCGCAAAGTGGGACAAGTCATCAAATACAAGCACGTGATTGGCGTTTCGAAGAGCCTCCGAAAGGTGAGTATAAGTTGTGATAACGGTGCGCGTTCGATGATCGTGATCGACGAGCGCCTGGCCGCGGTGATTCCTTCGCTGTACCACGCCATTCTGCAGAACCAAAGCCAGCGAATCACCAATTTGGTGGTTCGAATGCTCGGAATTATGAAGCAGGAGCTGGTTAGCGAGGATTGGCTGCTTGGAACGCAGGAAAAGCTCGACGAAGATCTCATGACCACCGGGCTGACGCCCGTCGTGGAGCCCGTCACGCCGATGGATCTCGCGCCGTCCTCGGTGAGCAGAGCGGTGGTGAAATCGTATCACCAAGGCGTGGAGGCGAAGAAATTGCTGATTTCGAGCGGGACGACATACACGGAGTATGAGATCGAAGTGACGTCGGAAGAGGATCGTGTGAAATGGACGATCTACCGCCGATTCCGTCAGTTTAAGTAGAGTTGAAAGGGAAAAGTAAGGCGTAGAGAGATGGACGAGTTGCTGAAGAAGGAGTTCCCGGATGAAGCGCGTCGATTAAAACTCCCCGCCAAGCAAGTGAAGCTGTTCCAGAGCAAATCGATGCTGGATAAGCGAATGGAAGAGTTGAATCACTATTTGGAATTGGTCATTGCGGATCCCAAAATGAGAGAAAGCGAGAGTGTTTCGCGATTTTTGAAGGAGAATTTTGTGAATATCGATCAGTATTGATGTGTTTGTTGGAGATCGAAAGGATTTCGAAGCGAAATCAACTGAGTGAATGGGCGTTCGTCTGTTTGTTTGTTGAGTATTGGATTTAATGTGTATCATTTCGGTGTTGAAACAAACAATGTGTTACAAAAAAGTGAATTAAAGAGTACTGAGGTCGACAATAACCGGGCAATACATTTGAGGAATTGGTTCTCTTGGATCCGGTAATCGTGGTGGTGGTGCAACAGGAGTTGGAGGAGTAGGAAGAACTGGAGGAGCTGGAAGAACTGGAAGAACTGGAATAACTGGGGGAGTTGGAGGAGTAGGAAGAATTGAGGGAGTTGGAGGAGCTGGAGGTTCAGGAACAGAATCAAGATCCGAAGTAGAAATATGAACTGGAGAAGCTGGAAGAACTGGAAGAGCTGGAGGCACAGGAACAGAACCAGGAGTAGGAGTCGAAATAGGAGTCGAAATAGAAGTCGAAATAGGATCAGGAGGGGGTATACGCTGTCGCCGTCGACCCTTCCGCTTGCAGCAACAAATAGCGCAAAGCAGGAACAACAAAGACAAGACGGCCAGCACAAGAATCGCCAAGAGTACCATATAGAACTGTCCTACAAGCTCCGTGCACGATCCCTGCACTTCGCTCCACCCCACCTCCGCCTTCTCGTTCACTCGACACGTAATCATCTGTTCTCCGATGAACGACGCATTGCACGGGAGCACCACGCTCACTCCCACATCGGCTCCCTCCACGTCCTCCATCGCCTCGCACACCGGGAACACAACGCTCAGCTCGATTACCGTCGTCGTCGCTCCCGCCGGATTCCTCGCCGTGATCGTGTAGGCTTTCCGCGCGGCCGACACTTTCCCCTCCCCGAACACTCTTCCCGTCGTCGCGTCGATCGACAGCCCCGACGGAAGCGCCGGCTGCACCGCGAACGTCACGTTCTGCCCCGTCACCGCGGGGAAATTCGTCGAGAACGGCGTGTTCACGAAGATGGAGAAGAACGCGGCTTCGTACGCCAAATCGGACGGCGGCGCCATCGCGCAGGGCGTCGAACTCACGATCTCGAACTCCCCATTCACGCACTTCACTTCATACGACGTCGCGTGCGTCTCGTCGCAGCTCTGCGTGAACGTTTCGCCGTGCGCCAGCTGCACGTCGTCGCGCAGACAGCCCGCTTCCACCACCGTCAGCGAAATCACCGTCGTTTGGGACGCGCTCTCCGACGAAATCGCGCGGATCGTGTACAGCTGTGACGCCTGCAGCTCGGAAACCACGCCCGCAATGTCGCCAGACTCGGCAAGACTGAGTCCAGCGGGCAAAGCCGGGTCGGTGGCGAAGGAAGTGACGATTCCTGTGAACTGAACGGTGTAATGAACGCTCTGTCCGACCTGCGCGGTGAGCGAGGAGGGCGTGTATTGGAAGTTGGTGACCGGGAGAACGGAGCAGACGCGCTGCGGCTCGTCCCACACGCCCGAGCGGCAGAAGCGAGTGGTCTGTCCGGTGTGGAAGGGCGGGCAATCCGACGTGATGGACGCGGTTTCTCCGCTGGGCGTTTCGGGGAAGAGGGCGTCCTGGGGACAAGGGAGGGCGGAGAGCGTGAGAGAAGCGGAGAAATTGAGGGGCTGGGCAGGAACGATCTGGAGAAGCGGGGCAGGGGTGTTCAGGTCGATGAGCACGTCGCGAAGCGTGGCAGCGGCGAGCGATCCGGTGATTTGGAAGCTCTGGGAGGTGAAGAGAGCGGACAGGGAGCCGCTCAGCACGCCGTCGACGAAGGAAAGCCCCGCGGGGAGCGCGGGGGCAATGGAGAACGTCATGGGAGGGAGGGACGACACGACGGACAGAGCGGGGATCGCTTCGCCGAGGCGGAGCGGGAGCGATTGGACGCCCAGGCCGAAGGCCGGGTCGGAGATCGTGCAGTGGTTCTCGAACACGCCTACGACGCCCGTCACGCAGCGCAGAATCGTCCAGCCGCGGTGGTACGCGGGACACGCGAACGGAGCGGTCTCGCCGTCCAGGATCGCGGGGAGGCCGTCGGCCGCGGGGCAGTCGATGGGGCCTTGGACGACGGTGAGGGAGATGACGGTGGCGAGCGAGCCCATGACGTTGGAGACGGTGATCGTGTAGGTTTTCGCGGCGGAGAGGACGCTTGGAGTTCCAGAAATCGTGCCGTTGGACGCGTTGAACTCCAGACCGTCCGGGAGCGAGGGCGCGATCGTCAGCGTGAACTCCTTCGCGATGATCTCGGGAGCGATGGGAGCGATCGGCCGGTTGGTCCGGACCTCGAAGGCTTTCTCGGGGTAGTGAATGCCGACCGGGGCTCGCAGCACGCAGAGCAGAAACACGTCCGACCACTCGCCGTTGGTGCACTTCCGCGCGAAGCCGCCGTCGTAGTTCACGTCACAGCCGTCGCCCTCCTGCCAGGCGTTGTCCCCGTTGGCGGTGGGCTTGAAGTCGTCGCTCTCCTCGCAGCTGCCGGTCTGGGCGTGCGAATAGAGCTGGATATCGGCGAGCTGGAACGTGTCCGACTCGCACTGCGAGATGACCATTCGGTAGGCGTTGTACGAGTCCACGTTCGTCACTTCGAACTCCTGCGTCTGCTTCAGCCCCGCAAACGTCACGTTCTCCTGCAGCTGCAGCAGAACCCAGTCCTCGCCCGCGCGACGGCCGTAGAACTTCCATCCCCGCGGAGTTCGCTCGTTGTGGTCGGGCCCGTTGGTCATGACGATCTTGTTCACGACCTCGTAGCGCGTGGCGAAGTCCCAGAAGATCGCGAGACCCACGCAGCGGTGCGGAATGATCGTCACCGTGTTGACGTTGCTATCGAACAGATACAGCGAGCCGTTGGCTCCGTCTTGGGAAGGCTCGGTGCTTCCAACGGCCGCGTCGCTGACGCGCTGATCGTCCTCCACGTACTCCACCGACAGAGAGAAACTGTTCGGGTTTTCGTTCTGGAGATAGCGATGCATCTCCGCCGCGAAGAAATTCTCGCCCAGCCGGACATTTCCCAGCTCGATCAGCTCGGCGATGATGTAGGTCGTCGCGTACTCGTGCTGGTTGGTCGCTTCGGTGGAGGATGTAACGCCCGTGGAAGGGAGATTGACGCGGAGCAGCTCGTTGCCGTTGAGGTAGATGATGGCTCCGGCCTTGACGTTCACCGTGATGAGGATATGATGATAGAACGGGAGATAGAGAAGACTCGTGACGCCCTGATAGTACTGCGTGACGCTCGAAGCCGTGGGGAACGAGCCGGTCGTGAGGGGCCAATCGAGCGACTCTCTGGTCGTCCAATCGCTGGGGACCTCGCCCTCCGCGACTTTGTAGTACCACGCCATTTCCGTCATGTCTCCTTTGCAGTACTGCAAGTAGATGTTCGCTGCGTCGATTCCTCCGTTCAGAATGTTGGTCAGCGTGAGACGGAATTGCCGATAAGTGCTGATCTTCGTGATCATCGTCCATTGCGACCGCGTTCGCTCTGGGAGGTTCTGATTCCCGGGATTCAGCAGCGTGGTGTAGCCCTCTGTGCTCGCTTGCCGCGCTCGCACGCTGAATCCGAGCGAGTACCGCGCAGATCGCTCCAGAATCGCGAAGGACGTGAAGGTGGTTCCCTCCAGATTCTCCACTTCCCAGTTGACCGTCGATCCGCTTCCGTTGTCGATCACTGCGTAGGTCGATGGATCGTAATCGAAGAAGAAGCTCGAGACGCCTTCCGAGGGAGCAGTTCCCGAAACCGACACATACGAGTCCATGGCGATCGAGCAGTCCGCTACCAGAACGAGTCCCGTCGCATCGAACGTGAAGGGAGCGGTGGTGGACTCGCCATTGGCGCGATGGACCTCGAACGCCATCACGTTCTTGTCTTCGCGAACTCTGGCTTGGGCGAGAATCACGTGGAAGAAGGAAGGCGTGCTGGATGAATGAATGACCGATCCGCGTGTCGTGGAAGTGAAGGGAGACACGAGATTGAAGCGAGCCCATTGCCGACCGTTCAGATACGCCACGACGCCTCCGATGTAGGAGATGCGCACGTTGAGAAGAGCGTAGGAGGAGAGATCGGGGAGGGCGAACGTCTTGCGGAGGAAGATCGTGATCGAGTTGGACGATCCGATATCACCCGCCTTCGAAAGCGTCCAGTAATTGTCGTCGAAGTCGCGCTCTATCCAGGCGGAGGTCGAGAGAGCGGATTTGTAGAGCTTCCACGTGGTCGTCATGGCTTGGAAGGGCGTGAAGGACGAGAACGGAATCACCATCGTCTCCGCGCTCAGAAAGCCCGATTCGAAAATGAACTGATTGTTATCGATCGACAGATAGAAATAGGAGTTGTCGTCCCAGCCCGATTCACTGCTCGAGAAGAGATGTAATGAATACTGCGCGTGCTCCAGACAGAAATAGAGCTGGTTCTCCACATTGGCCGGGAGCGTGGTCGAGGGCGGCGTGCTGGGCGAAGACGAAACCGACCCCATGACATCATACTCTTCGGAGCTCGAAATCACCGAATCGTCCTTATAGATAATGAACTTGGGCTCGTTGCTGCGGATATGCAACGTGACGAGCGTTCTGGGCTCTTCGCACACCATCACGGAGAAGCTGATGATCGTTGTGGACCCCATCGCGTCCTGCGCGTTCAGCTTCCCAGTAATGATGTAGCTGGTCATTTCCGAAGCGACGATGGGCGTGCCCTTGATTTCTCCGGTGGTTTGGTTGAGAGAAAGACCGATCGGCAGGCTGGGCGAGATGGAAAAGAAGTTGAATCCCGTGGTGATGGGCTTGATTGGCTCGATGGGCACGTAGAGAACGATCAGCCCCGCTTCTGGATATTCCAGCGTGGGGATGACTTGCGTGGCCTCGGAGAGGATTTGGATTTGTTGCAGTCTCCAGAGACACGCAGAGGTCGATAGCGTGCTGAAGTCGCTAAACCGCAGCGAATTGAAAGCGATTGGGTTGGTCTGGGGCAACGTGATCTTCGTAGTTCCGTCGCTGTTCCACTGGAGAGACGTCGTGGAGTAAATTTGGTTCCACGACCCGTCCGCGAGGCCTGAAATCACGATTTGTTTGGGGCCCGGATATCCGGTAGCGCGCCGGAGAAAAACACTACTGACCCACTCACGACGATCATTGGCGAAGGTAATATCCAGCAAATTCGATTTGCACTGCGTGTTTCCGATCCAGAACGAACTCGTGTCTTCGAAGAATCGAGACGGCTGGCCTTCGAGGTTGGATCCCACCGCGGTGAGCTTATACGAGGACACGCGATTGGTGTTGCCCGCATCCAATCGAATGGCGCAATCGAACACGGAGGTGCGGATCGTGGACGAAGGCGTGACGATCGCGATCGCGAACAAATTGGATCCCTTTTTGAGGAACCGGATCGGGAGAGACACCGCGTGATAGAAAAGCTGCGTTGTCTCGGTGGCTGCAGAAGACGAAGTGAGCTGCCCACGCACGCCGAATCGGAAAGCCTCCACGCTGTTAATCATGAGAACATATCCGTATTGATGGCGAATCAGAATGGTGAATCCAGCGATGAAGTCGATGCTCGAGATCATCGCGCTGGTCTTGTACAGCTGAAGTTGGTTGGACGAGGACGGGAAGTTCCCGGCCGTGTTCAGCCCCCAGTTGCTGACATCCGAAGTGTACCAGAGCGACGGCAGCGATCCCATTTTGTAGAACCAATAAGAGCGGACGGGGACGATGTATTCCGTCGAGAACATGTACGAAGAGGGAAGGTCGAGGTTCGAATCGGCTCGAATCCGCAGCAGTTCGTCCTCTTCGCCGTTGGGGAGATTCGAGGTGATGAACAAGAACGATCCGGCCTGCCAGGCATCGGTCGCGGAGAGAAGCGTCACCGTGTAGGAAGCGGAGGTCAAGCAGAGCGTCGAGGACCACTCGACGTAGTCCACGATCGGGGAGTTGAGCGGAACGGAGAGAATCACATCGCTGGTCACCGAGTTGATCACCACGAATCCCTCGTTGGACGCCGCTTGCTGGTAGGTTCGAGCGAATTTGACGATCGTTCCGCTACAGCTGCGCACCGTGAGGACCAGACTGCCTTGATACGACCCCGACGTCACGTAATAGGTCGTGTATCCCGATGCAACGGTAGGACTTCCTTCGATGGTGCAATCCGAAGCCAAGGTGAGTCCTGCAGGTAGCGAAGGCGTGATCATGCAGTTCAAATAGCCGAGCAACGTAGGCTCGATGCGGACTTTCTGATCGACGAAGAGGATCTGATTGGAGTCCGAGTAGGAGATCGTGTTCGCATTTCCCGTGCAGACCAGAGGATGGAACTCGGCGATCGTGACGGTTTGCTCCATCGACGGAGCGAGCACGGAGACCTTCACTTGCTTGTACGTGTTGCTTGCCACGAACGAGATCACATCGTTCTTCTTGTTATGCCGGTACTCCTTGCTGAACAGCGTGACCCAGGAATTTCCACGATAGCCTTCCACGCGATACTCCGACGGCGCTTCGTCCATCGAGCTGAAGATGAAATTGAGTCCGTTGATCTCCAAGCTCCCATCGAACGTGTAGGTGATCGCATAGGGGAAGGAGGAGAACGTAACGTCCGTGTTGACGTTGAAATCGTTGGTGTTCGCCGCAGTGGAGGTTCCGTAGGGGTACAAATAGCAGTACGTTCCCGAAACGGACGGATGGAGCAAGTGCAGCATCACCATTGCGTCCAGCGAATAGCTCGACGAAAGCGAGGGGAAATAGAGAGCAAACGCAAGACTGACCGAGCTGCTGCTCACCTCGCTTCCGCTTCGAACCACGCGATGCACTTCATAGCTGGAATACCCGGGCAGACTGGTCGTCACGGTGCTGGGAACCACCGTATCGCCGATTTGGTCTCGGTAGATCTCCGATCCCCCGACATACACGATGATTCCATACCGATATTTCAAGTTGAGGTGGTAGGCGGCCATGGAGGCCATGCCGGTGAAGGATGTGCGGTAGTACCGCGGGATTCCGGGCACAGTGCTCTGCGAGAGCGTGATCGACTCCCAGGCAGAGATGTCGTAGTCGGGGAGATACCATCCCATCGATGTGACGGTCGTGGAGTGCGACCAGAGAGACTCATCGGAGATCGGCGTGTAGAGAGAGAAGAAGTAGTGGTCCTCGCGATCGGTCGTCATAAACCCTTTGAACACGATCGTCTCGTCGCCGTTAACCAGCTCGATCCACGATCCCGCGTACCATCGCGACGACGTGTGATACAACACCAACTCGTACAGATCGTCCGAAGAACGCGGGATCGTGTACACGAACTCCTGCAGCTGTCCGTTCGAAAGAGCCGGGCTGTTCACCACCACCACGCCGTTCGATAGGATCGAGAAGCTCTCGCGGTTCGCATACTGCATGCTTCGCTTCCGCACCAACAAATAACGATGGTTGTTGAAGTTTGTCAAGCGGAGCGTGAAGCTGCCTTGGATCGTTCCGCCGTTCCACGTCGTCGACATCGTGAACGGGGTTTCCGGGAGATTCTCCGTGGGGATTCCCGAGATCGTGCAGGTCGAAGAATCAAACGCTAATCCCGCAGGAAGCGATCCAGAGAGCGAGCAGTCCGTGATGTACAGCACCGAAGGGTGGATGTCCACTTCCTCCAGCGATATATCGTACACGTAGCTGCTCTGCGGAAAGGCGATCGAGCTGAGCGTGCCCAGCGAGCAGGTCATGAGCTGCACTTCGAACAGCGTGGCGGGGAGCGAGGACACGCCGTCGACTTTCAGTCGGAACGCCTGGGAGGCGAGGACAGCTTCGCTGGTCGTGAAGGTGTTGAGCATTCCCGGGACGTAGAAGGGCGTGTCGATGTCGAGAAGCAGCTCTTCACTCTCGTCTTCGATCCGATACAGGCTGAACGACGTGATGGAGGAGGTCGTGTCGCTCGGATACCAGACCGCCACGCCGTTCACGTACATCGTCGAAGAGAGGCTGTACGCGAAGGAGGCAGGGAGCTGGCTGATCGCGTCGCCCGACTGCAGGTTGAAGTCGAAGTAAGGAACGCTGGGGTCCAGCAGACCGGCATACACGAAGCAGTTCGTGCGCGGCCGAGAGTGAGCATACATGGAGAGGAAGGCGTTGAAAAGCACCGGGGACGTCACTGCGATGCTGAAAAAGTGGAGTTCCACGGCGAGGATGTTCGTGGTGGAGGCGATTTCGGAGGCAGGACGGATGATGGAATGGTAGGAGTAGGTGCTGTACTCTCCGGTTGCTGTGGTGGTAGCGGTGATCGGTCCTTCAGGGAGGTTATCTCGGTAGACTTCATTGCCATTGATGTGCACCACAATGCCGTAACGATAACGAAATTGGGCTTCGTAGACGGAGAGAATGGTAGAACCTACAAACTTCTTTCGAAAATATTGAGCTCCAGAGTAGGACAGCAGAACAGAGCCTAAGGTCACTTGGTTCCATGAGGTATCATCAAAGTCGTATTGATTCCAGTCCGATGGGGCAGCGGCACGTCTAAAAAGCCATTGAGAAGATCGTGCAATTGGCGTAAACAAGGAGAAATAGGCGAGCTCTCTGGACGCTTCGACCATCGCTCCCTTAAAAACACTATTTCCCTCGCTACCCAGAATTCTCAACCAAGAGCCAGCTGACCAAGAGTCCCCTCCATTGTCCAGGAATTCTAGGGTATAAACAGAATCTTGAACGTCTGGAAGGCAATACTCGTATTCAACTAACTGATTGTCGGAAAAGCCAGAACTGGTCACTAACTCAGTGTTTCCGTATAAGATTCGAAATTGCTCTTCTGAAGCTTTCGATGTACTTTGCTTTTCCACCAAAATAGCGATAGTAGTGTTACTACAACTAATGGCCTTTACCATTACAAAATCTAGGCGGTAAGACAGCTTTCTCTACCCGTACAAAGCAAAAAGACTAAAAGAAATCGTTGGCCCTTCCTCATTTAAAAACTATAACTAACAACACCTTCACAAAACGAAACACAATTCCTCAAACAAACAACCGTAATGCCGTTTAGTAGTAAAGATTGAGCGAACCAACAGGTTACATCTTGAGTTCCTTACACTGCTCCCAAGGGAATTCCGGTCTTCCAAAATGTCCATACGCGGCCGTCTTCTGGAAGATGGGCTTGTCCAGACCCAGCTCCTGGATGATGCAGCCGGGGCGGAGATCGAAGTTGTCCACGATGATCTTCACCAGCTCGGCCTCGGTCTTCTCGCTCGTTCCATAGGTGTCCACATGGATCGACAGCGGGTGATTCACGCCAATCGCGTAGGACAGCTGGATCAGGCAACGCTTGCACAGACCCGCATGGACGAGCGACTTGGCGATCCAGCGCGCCGCGTAGGCGGCCGAGCGATCCACCTTCGAGGAGTCCTTTCCAGAGAACGCGCCGCCTCCGTGGGCGCCCCAGCCTCCGTAGGTATCCACGATGATCTTGCGACCCGTGAGACCGGCGTCGCCGCTGGGTCCTCCGATCACGAAGCGACCCGAGGGGTTCAGGTGGAAGATCGTGCGGTCGTCCAGGAGCTCGGCGGGGATGATCGGCTTGATGACGTGCTCGATGAGATCGCGGTGGATCTGCTCGTTCGAAACGTCGTCTTCGTGTTGAGTGGAGATAACAACCGTGTGCACGCGGATGGGAATCATGTGACCATTATCATCCTTGTACTCGACCGTAACCTGGGTCTTACCGTCGGGTCGAACCCATTTAAGGGTTCCGTCCTTACGAACGTCGGTAAGTCTCTTGCCAAGTTTGGTAGCCAGGAGATGAGAAAGGGGCATGAGTTCTTCGGTTTCGTCGGTAGCATAGCCAAACATGATACCTTGGTCTCCAGCACCGATGTCTTCCATCTTCTTGTTGATATGGACCAATGCTATGTCGGGACTCTGGTGATCGATCGCAACCACGACATTGCAAGACTGATAGTCCAAACCCTTGGAATCAGAGTCGTAACCGATGTTGCGGATAGTCTCACGCACCACTTTCTCCAGCTCCACCTTGGCAGTGGTTGTGATCTCTCCGAAGATCATCACCATCTCCCCCTTAGCTGCGGTTTCGCAGGCAACCTTCGCGTTGGGGTCCTGGGCCAAGCAGGCGTCAAGGACGGCATCGGAGATCTGATCGCACAACTTGTCTAGACACTTAGGAACCACATTACGAACATACCTGGATGTCCCTCATTCACCGACTCAGATGTGAACAAAAAATGACCTACAGGCAAAGATTCCATGTGTAAACAGATGCTTGGTATTCCAGAATAAATGTGAACAACACCAAAGAACGGAAGGCTCTGCTGACGACCAATCAGATACCGGTGGGAGTTTCGTTCATTGTTGAAAAACGAAAAAGACGAATTGGATATTGCTCGATATATGGGATGGAAGAGAAGTCCGTTTGCAGCAAGCGGAATTTGTTCAAACATATTCAATACGGAGATGCATTTTCCTTACTGGAAACTGTGAATAAAAGAACGAACGAGAACGCGATAATGCAAAACTTTAGCGCTTGGGTGTTCAAATGCACAGCAAAATGGTATCTACTCTCTTTTTTACAACGAAGAGAACACTTTTTGCTCTGCCAATATGGAATCTTTGAAACGTGAGCAGATGGGGTAACCACACTTTGACAACTTCGCCGTTCTCTTTTCCAAAATGGATAACTCCTACATTTTGTTACAGGAAAACGATAGTGAATATGAGCCCACAGAGGAAGAGGTACGAGAAGAAGCTCGCTTTTTAGGTATCGCCCCCAGTGATGAACATCTACTCTGGATTGCCAAGGAGGCACTTCGTGTAGAGTACAGAAGAGTCTGTGTATCATAGGCACCGCTTCCTAAGAATTGGGAACCCTACCAACACAAGAAAACGGGGGTGATCGTGTACTACAACACGAAAACAGGAGAAACTAGCGAGAACCATCCCCTAGATGATTACTTTCGGTCTCTCTACATGAAGCTGAAGACAACACCCCTTCCAGTCGAAGTAATCTTTTGTTGTTGGAAGAGTACGAAGTAGAGCTTTAGTATGAGAGACATGAGCGGTGCAGAAAACGTTACAGAAAGCCATCCGCCGAACTTCCAACCGAAAGATAGTGTGGGTATAATCAACTCCGCTGAGTTTCAGCTCTCTCACTCGCTCTCCTTTCTGAATTCTTATGATCGGTATGATAAAACGCAAGAAATTTTTATAAAAATAGAAGAGAAGCAGAGAGTCTGCAGAACGAAATCCAAAAGCTGACAGTTGAAATCACCCTGTTCAATGAGTTTTGAATTCAATTTTGCTATTTTTAACGTGAAGATGGATGAATGAGTGTGTCGTAGCGATGAAAGAACAAATCAAACGCATCGAGTTTCTGAAGAAGCGAATGGAAGAGTCATTCAACTCCTCTCTCTCAATCTCGGGCATATCTTCCGCTGTTTATTTTTACACAAACAAGTCAAACAATAACAACAAACTTCCAACTTGCACACGGCAACAGAATCCTAATCCTCTCTCTCTCTCTTACTTCTTTCTCTTCTTAACATCCACCATCAAATCAATCATATCATTGGTCACATCCACATCTTCGTTCGGAATCATCGGCAGCGACTTCAGATCAATTCGCAGACCCACCATCGATTCATTCAATGCATCGACCTTCGCCTTATCCTGATACGACGGCATGAGCGAGATGAAATAGTTCGCCTTCTCCTTCCGCTTGCTCAGCACTCCAGCAGCCACCAAACCTTCCACATTGTTCCGCACCATCTGCGTGTTCACCGTAAACGGATACACGATCTTCTTGCTCTCCACCGCGCTTCGCGTCATCTCCATGCACTTCAGCAGCAGTACCGTCAGATCGACTTCCTCCGCAGCGGATCCGGGCACCAGATTCTGGATGGCCTCCGTCACGATCGTCAGCGAATCGACCAGCGGCGCCACCAGCGACACGCAGAAGTGCACGTAGCTCTCCTCGCTCGCGGGGTAGCTCACTAAATCGTCGCGCAGCACCAAGATATTGCGCGCAATGAGCGACTCCATCGCGGGCGCGCTCGTGACTTGGTTGAAGGGAATGTGGGCTCCAATGATTCGACACATCAGATCGACCACCGGAACCACGTCAACTAAACTCAACTCCGACCGGTCCGCCTGGATCTGCAGCGACTTGATCACGTACAGCACCGTGGCGTCCGCGAGGAAGTGGTGCAGCAAGCAGTTACGATAGTAGAAAAAGGTAATCTGCTCGGCAATGCCCTGCTTCGCTCGGTAGTTGTGCCCCTCCACGTCCACCAGGTTCGGGAAATTCCGGACGAATTGGTGCAGCATGCCCACCGACCAGGCGCTGTAGCCTTCCAACGCTCGCGCCTTGCGAAGCCAGCTTCGGATCGTGTCGATCCGCACCGACATCTCCGCTTCGGACACCCACTCGCCCGCGGGGAACTCCATGAACGCCGTCGCGACCAGCGTCGACACGGTCACCACGCTATTCGCGCGCATGGCTTGACAGACGTGGGCTCCCACATATTTGACCTCGTGCCGGACGTCGAGCGTGGAGTCCTCCTTCTCCATCTTCTGCAGCAGCTCTTGCAGCAGCATGGGGGTTCCCAGCGTGACGTAGGCGTTGCCGCAGTCCATCGAGAGAATGCTGGCGGCGTTCTTCAGCAGCGCAGAGAGCGACTCCTTGTGCTTCTTTCCGCCCATCATGTACTTCACGTACGAGTTCAGATCGGGGCAGTGCTCGTAGTCCACGGCGATGGGCACCAGCAGCACGTCCTTCAGTCTGCCGGTCTTTACGGCCTCCAGAATCACGTTAAGCAGGCCGTACTTGGGCGGGAGGATGGTTCCGTCGCGCGATCGCCCGCCTTCGATGAAGAATTCCAGCGTGGATCCCGACTTCAGCACCTCTTCGAGATAGCCTTCCAGCACGGCGCGATAGAGCGTGTCGTCGCCGAGCGAGCGGCGCATGAAGAAGGCTCCCGAGTAGCGGAACAGCGCGCCCACGACGGGGATGTTGAGGTTGTCTCCGGCGGCAATGACGGGGATCGGGAGGTCGTACAGCGCGGAAATGTACGACAAGACGAGGTAGTCGATGTGGCTCTTGTGCGTGGGGAGGTACACCACGCCCACGCCCTTTCCCAGCTTCTCGAGCTGCTTGTGGAACACGTCCAGGCCGTGCTTGTCCACGTAGACTTTGCGCATCATGGTGCGGAAGACGAAGGAGAGGATCAGATAGAACACGCGGAGCACCCAGTCGGTCTGGCGGCACGCCATGCGGTTCACAATGTCGTGCGCGTACTTCAGAACGGACTCGCGCTTCTGGGGGTGCTCGGCGTCGTTCACCAGACGGTCGACTTCCTTGGAGATGTGTTGGTTCTTGAGCACCTCCTCGTTGCTCACGATCGGCTTCAGAACCACGTGGATGCGCGTCATCACCAAGACGTCCACGCAGAACGAGCGGATCCAGCAGAGCGGACGGTGGTCGAAGATCCAGGTGATCGGCTTCAGAATGGAGGAAATCACCCAGGGGAAGTGCAGCTGCGTCTGCTTCATCACATCTTCGTATTCTGGGTTCCCACGCGCGTTCAAAGACGACTTCTGCAGGAACTGCATTTCTCTCTCGCTGGCCTCGTCGTACTCCTGTGGATAGGGAGACGCGCTATCCTTAGGAAGAGGAGTCATGTATTCGGAAGCGACCGGTGTGAAGAAGTTTTTAACACTCGGACTCTAGGCATGAGCAGACAACACTACCAATACGCGGCGCAAACTAGGGCGAGAGCTGTTCTCCTCCGAGTTCATCACACTCTCCGAATCCCGAGCCTCCGAGAGATTCATATCTACACAATGACCGCTACACATGGCAAGCTACTGAAGTAGAGGTCGTTGCTATTCACAGAGTTCTGCTTTCGCAGCTTCTTGCGTCTCTCCTTCACAGCACCAGCCAGATTTGTAGAACTTCCTCCTCTGCGCATCCCCGGGGCTGGTTCTTTAGGGTCCTTTTCATCCTTAACAGATTGAGTTTTCTTGGGAACAAAACGGTCAAAATAGCTCAGGATATAGTCAGTAAATGTCGCCGCCTCTGCTATTTTTCCCTGAGAGCGCTTTTCCTTGAAGCGAATAAATTCGATAGCAAAAAAAGCTAAGGCACCTAAAATAGAAGTAACAAGCACCGAAGCCCAAGAGCCAGGAAAGAGATTAATCATTTTGTAGAATTCAGAAACACGACCGCCGAAAAACGAGCCGATTTTGGGCAGCATGTTCTAAAAATGGAAAATGCGATATTCTGCAGGTGAGAGAAACGATATTCATTGTAACAAACAAAACTACACGATTCTATAGTCTTACTTCTTCAAGTTGACCAGGAACTTAGAAATACCGGCATTGGTGGGGGCAATAGTGGTCTGTCCCTCATGCCAGTTCGCAGGGCACACTTCTCCATGCTCGTCACTGAACTGGAGTCCCTTAATCACACGAATGGTCTCATCCACATTACGACCCACACCGTTATCGTTAATGTAGATGTGGCGGATCTTGCGGTTAGGATCGATCAAGAACAGTCCACGGAAGGCCTGAGCGTAATCCAGACCGGACTTGTCCTCGTTGTATACTCCGTAAGCCTTCATGGTCTCGCGGGTGACATCCGAGAGCAGAGGGATGTTGATCAGACCACCGAGTCCACCCTCCGAGCGAGCAGCCTTGAGCCAGCTAAGGTGAGTGTAAGGAGAGTCTCCAGAAATTCCGAGAACCACGGCATTCACAGCAGCCAGCTTCTCCGCAGCATCATTGTAAGCGAAGATCTCAGTAGGGCACACGAAAGTCCAATCCATGGGGTAGAACAGAAGGATTACCCACTTTCCCTTGTAGTTATCCAGAGTAACCTTCTCAATAGTCTCGGTTCCCTGAGCTCCGTTCAGGCAGAAATCAGGAGCAGTTTGACGAATAGTAACGGGCATATTACAAAGTAGTTATTAAAAAAAGAATGAGATTTTGAAAAGATCTTTCCTTCTATTGATAGCAATGGATTTTTTCCAAAGTTCGATCGCCAAAAATAATAAAATCCCCGTTAAGGCTTTTGTCCATGCCCCTCAAATGGATACCATTGATTCATCCCTGTATCCCGATTTCCAAGGGGTGATTTTCCCTCGTTCCTTCTGATCAGAATTGTATTCAAAGGAATCAAGTATATTACTGTTGGATATGTCTTTTGGGGAGTGTGCTAATGGTGCCGTAGAATGAGAGCTAAGTGGGCTAAGAAGCGTATGCGACGTCTGAGACGTAAGAGAAGACAGATGAGAGCTCGTGCTAAGTAATCTTTGAGTACAGTCTGTTGTTTTTGTTTGAAAGAGTTCGCATTGTTTTTCTTTTCTGTGAGACAGGCACGGAACGAGGTTCTACCACAAACAATCAAAACAACAACAAGAAGCTTATAAAACTAGACTTATGCGTCGGTGAGAGCAGCCACACCAGGAAGAATCTTTCCCTCCAGCACCTCCAGAGAAGCACCGCCTCCAGTAGAAATGTGGGTAATCTTATCAGCAACACCCGACTTGTTGATGGCCGACACAGAGTCACCTCCTCCAACAATCGTGATGGCTCCCTTGTCAGAACGCTCGGCCAGGGTCTTGGCGATGGCCATGGTTCCAGCAGCGAAGTTCTTCTGCTCGAAGATACCCATGGGTCCGTTCCAGACGATGGTGTTGGCATCCTGCAAGCAGTCCTGGAACATCTTGATGGTCTTGGGACCCACATCCGCTCCCAAGAAGCCGTCAGGGATCGCGTTCACGTCCACGGTCTTGATCACGCTCTGCTTATCCAGCGAGTCCGTAATGACGGTATCCACGGGCAGCATGAACTGAATGCCCTTGGCCTTGGCCTTGTCCATCAGCTTCAGAGCCAGATCCAGCTGGTCGTTCTCCACGATGCTGTTACCGATGTTCTTGCCCATCGCCTTGTAGAAGGTGAACATCATTCCGCCTCCCACCAGCAGCTTGTCGCACTTGTCAATCAGCGACTCCAGCACGGGCAGCTTGGTCGACACCTTCGCGCCTCCCACAATGGCGGCCAGAGGACGCTTGGGGTTGTCGATGGCGCCGTACAGGAACTGCAGCTCCTTGTCCATCAGCAGACCGGACAGGTTCACGGAGGTGTGAGCCGTCACACCCACAGTGGAGGCGTGCGCACGGTGAGCAGTGCCGAACGCATCGTTCACGTAGATATCGGGGTGAATGCAGTCAACCAGCTGCTGCACGAACTCGGGCTTGTTCTTCGTTTCGCCAGGGTTGAAACGCACGTTCTCCAGCAGAACGATGTCGCCGTTCTTCATGTTGCTCACGGCGTTCTTCACGCTGTCGCCAACGACCTCGTCCACCTTCACGACCTTCTTTCCAACCAGCTCCGAGAGACGAGCGGCCACCTACACAGTATTACTTCGCCCTGTCAATATCTACGGGATCCAAGGTCAGCTTTGGGTCGGGACCCTTGGGCTTGCCCAAGTGAGTCACCAGAACCACCTTCGCACCTTGCTGCGTAAGGAGCTATCCCTCAGTCATGAGAACAAAAACGTACGTTAACGGTGGGGAGGGCCTTCACAATACGGGTATCATCGGTGATAGTACGCTTTCCGTCCTTGGAAAGAGGGACGTTGAAATCCACTCTCACGAAAACAGTCTTTCCCTACGAGTCAGCACATCCTCCAGCCTCATACAGCGATATTATGGGTTTTTGTGTAGGCAGCCACTCCAAGTTTACTAACAGTACGAGATGTAGAGAAAAGTCTCTTCGACAAGGCACTCTATGTATTAGTACAGGAAGCGTACCAAATACCAGCATGATTATTAAAGGATTTATGGCAAACGCTAAAGAAGGTCGTGCAAATGATTGGATAATTGATTCTGGAAGGACGACATACAACCCCCATTGATTCTAGAAACGCCGTTTTGCAGAATCTTGCAATGCAGCAATAACACTACCTTCGGAAATGTGTTGACGAACCATGTTTTCGTGTTTTCATATAGTGTTTTGATGGCTACCGAATTGCATACTCAAAATGAGAAAACACCCACAATGCGAGGAATGGACATGATTGTGGATATCACTAGTAATCTTTTCAAGGTCGTGGTTCTCATTATCCACTATTTGTTCTCCTCGGTGATCCAACAATTACGAGAAATACGTCGCATACACCAAACCTATGTCTTTGTTTTCGACTTTGACGATACCATTTAGAATGACAAGATTCAGAGTATCTACAATCAACAACGGTTCTTAAGGCAGTGCTCGTGCGAGCAGGCGGGGAATCCTCTGTACAAGCAGTACATCATCCCCTCTGCCAGTCCGGATGCTGTCACCAAATATGGAATGTGGCTAGGAGCACAGATTTGCATCTATGTAGAGGTTTTGCTCTGTGTACATATAGGATAATAAGGATCGCATCAAGACGTTGACTGATTTGGACTATCATAGCAGCAAGAAATACGTCTTCTTTCCATCCATCGGCCTCGTTCGGAGTGATGATACAAAGCGCACCGTTGTGGAGAACCACTACCCATTTACTATCGACATCAAGGAGTATTGCTCGTCAGCTTTCTCTGTTTTTCGAGAACTCTGCGGCATTCCTGCTTCTCTCATATTACAAAGCATGGAAAGCGATTGGGTGATCGGAATGGACTCCATCCCCAAGTATTGTGTCATCGTTGATGTGAGTCGCAAAGAGAAGAATAGGCTCCTCTTCTTGCTTCGATCGTTTATTACAGTATTCATTCCAGTACGACTGGATTACCGTCTAGTATCGCTATTTTCACGAGGCATTCTTTTTCCCTCAGTTTTGCTGTGTGTTTCGCGTGCGTGTTAAGAAGCTGCACCTGGTGCGGTATGGATGTATCATACGAACTCTGATTCCATCCGATAAGAATATAATGAGGTACGCGGTTTTTGGCATGGAATTGAAGGGCAGAACCTCCCTCACAATCACTTCAGACTCGGTTCTTCCATATACCATTCATGATATCTGTAACATAGACAAGGAAACAATCGAGAAAGTGTTTAATGAGCTGGAAGAAAGTCTTCTATCACTAAGTCTTCTGCGATGCACGAATTACTCGATCCGATTCACCGTGATCCATGATAGAAAAAACTCTTTGATTGTTGAAGTGTGCAATGTACTAACTGCAGAATCTAGATTGATGCTATTCTACCAAAACGAAGACACCTACAAAATCAAGTTACAGAGGAAAATTTTTGAATTTCTTATTGGTTATTCTGTTTAGTCGAAAACAATAATATGATTCTGAGGCAAAAACAGAACCAGTAGGACACACATGGAGAGAGTTTTCGGAAAATGGAACAAATGCACGTTCTACGATTCGAAAATGGTATATTATGCTTAACCTGGAATATATTCACATCGCGGAGCTTCTATTAAGTACGGCAATGCGTAAATATGCTCATAGTGAGTATTCGATAGAGCGGATCCTTTAGATAGATCGAGGTTCTATACGTTATATATATATAAATCTAAAGGAGTCAAACCGTTAGGAAGGTGTTAAACGTTGAAACCAGTTCGTTGATCTCTTGCACTTTTGTCTGAAACGTTTTCTCATAAACGGTTTTGGAAGAATCCACATAGCTTTGAAGAGTGGCGATTGACTCTAGTATCTTACAAAACGAGCAGCACATACCACATATGGATTGGACAATTTTCGTGAAATACTCTGGATTACTCACAACACCTAAAGGATTCGGCATTGTCTTTAGTTGGGTATTAATGTCATCAATTTTGCTTCTAACCTCTTTCTACCATATAATTCCAAAGAAAAATAATTATAAACGGCTAGAGCATCGAATTGATTCGCGGATTGCATGGCACTATAGATCGAAGACATGATGAGGTTCGTGGAGCACTAAAAATACAATTGAAAATGAGAAGGGAAAAATAGAAAAAGATTGATAATTGTAAAAACGAAACCGACAATTATTCCAATAGTAGAATATCGTGCTGAAGACTTTTTCAACAGAAATGAATTGTATGCCTGCTGATGCATGGGGAGAGATCAAGAACCTCCCCGGAAACGATGTATTTTTTTGTTCTTTCTGTTCATGGATAGCGTTGTGTTGATTGCGGAGCTGAAAACCCAGTATGGGCATCTGTTTCGTATGGAACACTTATTTGCTTGAAATGTTCTGGACTCCATCGGGGACTAGGTGTATTTGTTATTGATTTTTCTGACGGAATAGGTGCATCTGAGTTATGTTCGCTCCGTGGAGATGGATTCTTGGTCCGATGCAGAGATCAAGTCCATGAAGGTTGGAGGAAATCAACGTCTTTTAGATTTTTTTGAAAAACATAATATTAGTCAGAATGCTTCGATATCTGTCAAGTATAAGACTGCAACTGCCGAACTCTATCGTTCTATGTTTGTGTGAAGTCTGCCTGCTATATATATAGAATCAAAGCGCTCGTTGATGGGACCGAAGTTCCAGAAGACAAGGCTTTAGAGGAAGATGAGTCCAACAAAAATCTGGTATTACAAACGTTCTTTTTGTTTATGGCCTTAACCATAGTCGTGAGTCAGGCGAATCTGCCATTGAGCAAGATAAACGTCTTCGGAAAGAGGCAGAGGAGCGATTGGCAGCCAAGTTTGGGAATAACATTGAATTCCGTGGAATCACGAATTCTCCGGCTGTTGAGGCAAAGGCAAACGATTCTGATGAATCGGAATATAGCGAAGAATCCGAGTCTGAGAGTGATGAATCGGAATATAGCGAGGAATCGGAATCGGAATCGGAATCGGAATCGGAATCGGAATCGGAATCGGAATCGGAATCGGAATCGGAATCAGAATCGGAGAGTGAAGGTGATGAATCGAACTCGAAGAAGGAGGGAAAAGGGAAGAGAAGTCTTGAGCGGATGAAGAAGAATTGGCAAGATAGCGAGGCTTCGCGTGTGGCGAAGGATGTGGGCAGCGAAGTGGTGAACTTCGTCCGCAAGACGGGAATCACGGAGAAGACCAAGAAGGGAATGCAGCTGCTGCAGAAGAAACTGCAGGAAGAAAAGGAGAAGCAGAAGGGAAAGGATGCGAAGGAACTAGCGAAGGAGAGCTGGGGCTGGCTGGCTTCGAAGACGAAAACGGCTTGGAAGAAGACGCTGGATGGAACAAAGAATTACATCAAGGATTTGAATGATGAGTTCGGTCCGAAGAAGCGAAAGGAGGAGGAGGGAGACAGCAGCAGTGATTCGGATGAGTCCGATTCGAGCTACTATTCGTATTATTCTGACGAAACGGAAGAATCGGAGGAAGAGAAAAAGGAGAAAGCAAAGGAAACGGCGGAAGTGAATCAAGAAGTAGCAGTAGAAGAACCTATGAACCAAGAAGTAGCAGTGGAAGAAGAGCCTATGAACCAAGAAGTAGCAGTAGAAGAACCTATGAATCAGGAAGTAGCAGTAGAAGAAGACCCTAATGAACCTTAGATAGTTCTGTTTGTTCAACAAAAGAATGCAATCAACTGAACTTATCTCGGACATTAAAAGAATATGTGACAAATATGAAAAGAAGCTGCTTTCTCCTCAGATTGCAGGTTTTGGCTAGATTTTAGAATTACCTGTAGAACACTGTTTAAAACAATGCATAGAGGAGAAAACAAAGAATACTTTACTCCTTTTTGTCAAGGGTCTACAAGAAGCAGATTCTATACAGTATTGCCGTTCTGTTATGAGAGTTCTAAACAATTTTCAATCTGAATTGTCAAATATCAGTGAGCTAAGTGCTTTTGCTTCTCTTTTACCAAATCTATTTGGACATATTTTGGATCCATTGCTAAACGAAGTTCTAATCTAAATATACCTTAATCCTAGGACTTCTATGATCATCTGATAAACCTTCTTCAATGTAGAAGCAATACAATCCTCTCTGGAGATATAACCATTCAAACTGACGAGGATACTTTAGTACGCACCCTCTTTTCACACCTCTCCCTTTCACTTCGTTTTTCCATTATTTCTAAATCGATTTCATCTTGTGTACACAGTGGAATAGAATAGTCTCATTTAGGTGCTTTCTTCTTCTGCCGAGCTACGAGATCTTTCTAGCCTAATTCCATGGCTCCAATATCTCTTCGGAGAAGATCTCTTTGTTCTCCACAATCTCCATTACGAATTCGATGTTTTCTTTCGTCACCTCGAGTGTTCCTTCTTTGAATCCCACATTCTTGAAGTGGCTCGATCCTATCCGCATTTCAACCTCCCTCCCAACCTTCGATTAACCCAAGTCTATTGCGACGATCGCTATGTTCGCCATCTGGACGAGGTCGTCGCATCCTGCAAAGATGACAAGGAAATCATGGAGCTTTTTGCCCACATCATCTTCGTAGTTTCCTTTCACGATCACTGAATAATAGGTTTGTGAAGCGGCGGGATTGGAAGTGAAGCAGATCTCCATGCTATTGCAGCCGCTTTGTGAACGAATTCGAAAGCGAGAGGATTGGGTGAACGCGATGTTTCTGGTGATGGCAAGCGAAATGAATGTACTTCTCCGCTCTTTTTGTTATTTCCGAGGAAATGCTGACGAATCCAAGACCGTATGCCGATGAAAGCAGTGAGTGGACATTCGATCGATTTTGGAATCCGGGGCAGACGAAAAAGAAGAAAATGGATTATTTCGGGTTTTTCGTTTTGATCGCCGGAGATGTGAACGCGTTCGTGAACGTGGTGAGCGATTTCTTCACCAAGCAATTGCTCTTCGAAACGGAAGAAGCTGAAAACGCTTTAATGTTCGTTCTTTTTTCTCTCTCTCTTTCTTATTCGCATAGAATGGAAAAACTCATGCTTTTTGTCATTCGAAAACTCGGAAGAACCGAATCCAATCGCCTTGTGGGCATGGTAAAACATCAAAACTTTGGTCAATCCAAGCTGCGCGATCTTCGAATTTCCCGATCCTTCAATTCTTCCTTCCACAACAAAGTCAAAGCTCCCTTTCGCTATTCTTGCTCTGTTATTTCCCGCGGTTGTTGGACGCTTCCATCGAGTCAAATCATCTCGCTTCCGCCCGCCGTCGTGTCCCAGCAAAACCAACTGCAGCGGTTTTTTAAGAAAGCGTATCGCAACCGGCATCTCAACACGATTGCGAACGAAGGAAGCGTTCAACTCACAGTGACGTTGAGAGGCGAATCGCGAAGAATGGAACTTTCGATTATGGAGTTCGTTCTTTTCAACGAAATTTCGAAGAATCGTAGCTTGCTTTTTGATTGAATTGTGTTTTTAACGCATAGGAATCTGGACGACGGCGCAACTCAGCGAAAAGGTGGGAATTTCCGTGTCGGTGGTGTTAAAACTCCTGTATGGATTGATCGAACGGCAGTTAGTGATTTGTGTGAATGCAAATCCGCTGCAATATCGCCATGTGTTGTTCTGGGGAGAGAAAGGATTGTCGATCGAGACGAATCGAGTGGAGGAAGACGAACTGTTGCATGATTTGCTGCGATATGAGCGATTTGTGATCGATATGCTGAACATCAATTTGAATTTCTCGGAGAAGCAGCTGTTTCTGCGATTGAAGCTGTTTCTGCAGGGAAATAATAAATGTAAGGACTGAGATTGGATTTGGGAGTGTGTAGTTGTGTATGGAGAGAAGGAATTCCATTTGTTGATTGAAGAGATGAAGCGGAAAGATGTACTATACGAGGAGGATTCAGTGCTGAAACTGCGCCACTATTTTGGTTTTGGTGTTTGTTACAAAGAGAACAAAATGAAAAGTAAATCCGATAATTATTCACCACGTGCGCGTGGAGCTGCATAATCAAAGAATAAGCTACAATCAGCCACATCAACGCAACCAATCGAATACCTGCCTCAGGGGAAACATACAGAAGAGCATAATTCTCTTTCTTTTCGACGGTGTAAATCGGAGCGAAAAGACGAAAAATCTTTAAAATCGTTGTTTCGCAAGTATCTCTCGGAAAACCAAACACGCAAAGTTCAAGCACAGGAAAAACGCATTGTAGAATAGCTTCGAATTTAAAATGGTTTCCATCCCTACATCGAAAAGGTGTCATTATCGGATATTGCTGGAAATTGTTGTCAACTAAGGAAAGAAGGTTCCCATAGTTCCAGATCCCGCCGCTCGCACGCACCAAACTCGTATCTACTTCAGACGGTTGCTTGGTGACCGCACTGAGATTTACCCCCCACCATTTACAATATTCTGCCTCCGACATTGAGGAGAAAGCTTCGACAGACTGCGCTGTTAGACGAGAACCATATTCCGTCGAACTCGTAGTGTCAATCACAGGAAATTCACCCGCTACCGGCACCACCGATGAGACCTTATTTTGGATAAGATCCGTAAACGTTTCCTTATCGCAATCGATAAGATAATCCGTTTTCCGATATTTCTCGAGGTATTCCTTATACAGAAATCCATCGCAGTCCTCCTGGATATAAAACAACAAGAAGCACGACGAAGTCAAACAGATTTCCAGGAACTCGTACGCAGAACGAGGACTGCATGTATTCCGTAAAAGACTAGAGCGTAACCACACAACCCGCACGCAAACAATGATATTGGAAAACATAATCTATACTACAACAAACAGGTGCAAAGTTCACAGTGCCTTTCAATCATACTGTTCTTACTTCTTGGTGGAAACACCCACAGACTTGCCGAAGCGGCCAGTGGTCTTGGTGTGCTGTCCACGCACCTTCAGGTTCCAGTAGTGGCGCAGACCACGGTTGGCTCTATGCATCACCATCCCCAATTGCTGCTCCTCTACCTCATCTTCTTCAGACGGTTCAGATCCTCACGGAGATTGGCCTGGAGGTTGTTGGAGACCACCTGACGGTACTTTCCGGTCTCAACGTCCTTCTGTCTGTTCAGGAACCACTCGGGGATATCGAACTGGAGAGGAGTGCTGATCACAGCAATGAGCTTCTCAATCTCATCGTTCGACAGCTCTCCGGCACTACACAATGACCAGAACATAGAAAGCTCCTTACCGTCTCGAAATATCGATCTCGGCCTTCTTGCAGACAGCCATGGCGAAACGACGACCAATACCCTTGATAGAGGTCAAGGCATAGACGATCTTCTGCTTTCCATCAATGTTAGTGTTCAGAACACGAAGAATGTGCTGGAACTCTCCCTGGTTAACAAGCGACTACAAAATGCGTTAGGATGGATCTACGATCACTAAAACGACCTACCATATCGAAAGGTTTCTTAATGAACTTGAATTAGTGAACATCGGTCGTTGTCTCTACATGTCCGATTCCCGCGGTTTTGCCTCTCATAAACCAATCTAGATTATCTCTATTCAGAAATTACGAATCGAGACTCGATTTGTCTCGCTTGATACGAAATATAGAAAGGAGAGATTTTGTAGTTTGTTGGGATGTGTCGAGTATTGGGCGTTTTTTTCTTGTTCTTTGTCATTCTTGTCGTATGAACTCTATGAAAGCGCTGAATAATAGCATTCGGAAACACACTTTCCAGCCAAATCTGTACTTTTCGTTGACTTTTTGACGACTAGTCCGAACGAAAGCAAGGACATGAGCTTAGTATCGAAGCTGAAGTGAATGCTGATGGAAGCAGTCGTACCGTGTCCAGACCTTTTGACAAAATTGTAGAAACGCTTATTTTTTGTGACATTTAGCACACCCATTCAATTGTTCATAACACATTTTCAGCCAAATTCGAGCAGGGCGAAGAGGAAGGTGTGAGGAAGGTGATGAATCCTCACTATCGATTGGTTTTGGCCACAACATTTATTGAAATAAACGTAATTCATCGCAAATCAGTAGTATTTGTAGTCCCCAGAGAAGGACGAGATCCAGCGAAACACTCTACGAAATCTGATCGCTCTGGGTCCAAGCGTGCGAATCGTCGTGTTTGCGACCTCCGATCAGTACTTCGCCGAGTTCCACAACGACGTCGATTTTGTGCGCGAAATGAAGTGCAATCGGTACGGAACGCCGATCTTCCGGTATATGATGATGCACATCGAAACTCACTACTCCTTTGACTATTATGGCTACTGCAACGGCGATCTCCTCATCCACTCTTCTCTCCTCTCTGCTCTTGACTTCGTTTCAGGTCAGATCGAGAAGGGTTTGCTGGACCATCGCGTAGGCAATCGCTGATCGAATCACGCGAAGGTGTTTCTGGTGGGTCGCCGCACCAACATTTTCGCTCCATTTCCGCAGCTCTCTCGCTCTCAACGCGCACAGAACGATGCGAAAATCGCCGACTGCGCCAAGCAGGGCAGTCTTTTCCAATCGGACGCGGAGGACTATTTCGTGTTTACGCAACACACATTCAATTGGCAGTTCATCAAAGACGTGGTGATCGGCCGGCCCGGCTACGACAACTACCTCGTCAGCCAAGTGTACCACAACCGAACCAAGATTTCCTTTCTCGACATCACGAACGCGGTGGTCGTGGCGCACCAAACCGACGCGGACGGCGTCAAAGCCGGCCATCGCAAAACAAAAGACCGATTTTACAACATGAAACTCATCAAACGCGACTGGAAAAAGGGACGCATCGAGTACAGCGACTTCGTTCTCGAGCAGTTCCCCGCCGATTCCTTCGCTCTGCGGAGGCGTTTCTACGTCCCGGACGTTTCATTCGACGACTCGTTTCTGCTGGAAGAGCTGGGCATTCTGCGGAGATTCGTTCGGCCATCCGACGTCTGCGTTGAACTGGCGTCGCGCGTTGTGCGAGGCGTCTTAGCCGAGATGTGTAGGAAGCTGTATGTTGTGGTATATCGCGATTCGTTCGTTCCGTTGCCGATTGATCGGGGTTTGATCGTAGGGAGATGAAGGTGTCGTTCGATCCCAACAAGGTTCAGATTTTGTTTGGGGGTGCTGAGTATTTGTAGGAGTTTGGTGAGTTCTTGTGTTTTTTCGTAGAGAGACGGAATTTGAAGAGCGACCCATTTCGACATCAAAACAGTTTGCTGGGTATTTGGAGGCGCTGGATCGGATTGAAGAACCGGTTGATGTTGTAATCGATGATGGAAGGTGCAGACCGCAAGCAGCGGACAGAATGCGAAAGCATCTGCGAGAAAACGGAACCCTTGTGATCCGCGGCGATCGCGCTCATTATAAATTCATTTCTTCGTATTATTCGGTGGTAGCAAAGTTTTCTTCCACCATGTATCCTGGAAAAGAGTTTTCGGGAATGACTGTGTATAGAAACGATAAGGTAGAGAAGCAAATAGAGTATCCCAAGTGGTGGTAGCTGATTGTGTTTATTCTAACAAACAACATTTCAGTTCATTTTTGATACTTCAAATTACGGATAAAAATGGATTCATCTCAATATGGAAACAACCCCATGTATGCAAGCGGAGTCTATTCCGCGGGGACTCAACCCCAATTCATGGTAACAGGATAATTTTGATATTTGTGACATCCAGGACCCTCAACAATCCTATAGTATCGTGTACCAAGCACAGCCAGTGCAGATAGCGCAGCAAGCAGAAAACTTGCAGACATCAACCATTCCGTACGCAACACCTGTCTACAGCAATCAGGTGGTGCAGAATCAGTGGAATCCGGAGAACTCGAATCAGTGTCCTGCGCAGACATCTCCGGTATCTACACCGAAGGAAGGAGAAAACTCCAGGGATAACAAAAAAGCGGTAGCTGTAAAAGAAAATCTAAAGGAAGTTGGTTCAAAAGTAGTATCGGCGTATGGTGCAATCTGGGTAGTCCACTCCTCTTCTTATTTATTTAGAAAGGGATTGGAACGGGAGTTAGAAAGGCGACCACCGCCATGATCCAACGCTCAAAAAAGAAGCAGACATCGGATTTCAAACCGAAAGAGAACGCGATAATCCACCGCAATCCACCGACTCCTCCCATGCGCTGCTTTGACGACACCTGCGTGTCCATGTTTGAGATCGCGCTCAGTTTAGAAGTACAAAACGCGTTCAAACAGAGCGACATATCCATCCCTTTTCACCTACCCAGCATCCTTCACTCCACCCCAAGCAATACTTACAGAATCAATGTCCCTCCTTCACTCTCGAAGTCCTCGATCCCAACAACAAATTCCTCATCGGCCGTGTCGGCAACCTCAAAGTCTACTGCCTGCGCGGCACGCGCACGCCGGTCGATGTGGTGGCGGACTTGCAGGCCGTTCCGAAGCCGATGAGCATCGGCAATGTCCACAAAGGGTTCTACGATCGCGTCGATGCGATCCTCACGCGATACCCGCCCGAGAACGCCATCACGCGCGTGCTGATGACGGGACACTCGCTCGGAGGCGGCGGGGCGCATTGCGGGTATCTCATCATGAAGGCGATCTACCCGCAATTGCCGGTCGTCTGCGTGACGTTCGGCGTGCCCTGCGCGGTGAGCGAGGAAATCATGCGGAGCGTGGAGGAACCGCGGGAGATCGTGAATTTCATCGATGAGGGTGATTACATTCCGTCGATTACGATCGGAAAATACACGAGTAGGGCGAGGAGATACGGAAGGCCGTAATGGATAGAGCAGATTCTGAAGTGGATGAGCGTGGACGCGAGCGCGTCCGAATCCAAGTCCTTCAGTTTCTCGGATCTTTTTGCAATGAATAGCGCGTTGGGAGCTGCAGTGGATGAGCTGTGCCACTACCACCCGATGGGAGTTTATTATTACGTAGAAACGGAGAGGAAGTGACATGCAGTTGCCATTGCAGTTGAAGAAGTATGTGAAGCGGCCGTTGCGCATTAGAACGGAAGAGCACTTCGACGAAGTGTTTGAATCGCAGATAAATCGAGGCATATCGAAGTTCTTGTATCATATGGTGAAGACCTATTATGATCGAATGTATTATTATGTCTTGAACGCTTCTCTGGTAGGAGTGGAGTGGAGAGGAGGGTTGACGTGTAGCCTTGGGACAACTACTCGAAGACAATTCGTTGGTTGAACCCGCTAGAATACAAGAAGATTTTGGAAGACGAGAAAGAAGAGTGATTCTATTTTCTATTTTTGATCGATGTGTTTGGTTTGCACACAAATGTTATCAGAAATATGAAATAGTGCATCCACTCATTTGCGTGGCTTCTTGCCATTACCACCTTTCTACGATTGAGGTCATATTCACAAATTCTCTTCTATTTCAAAACCCTTTAACCATGGTGGAAATTATGTGGCTCGGACAGGCTTGCTTCTACATTCGTTGCAACGGAACGAGTGTGGTGCTGGATCCCTACTTCCAGCAGGAGAAGGTGCGTATTTTTGTTTGATCGTCATTCCGCTAGTGCCCCAACCCCATTCCTGAATGTGTTTATGAGGCTGATTGGCTTCTGGTCTCTCATGCTCACCACGACCACATCGATGACGCCTTCCCCTTGATGAGAAGAAACCCCAAGATGCGAACGAACGTTTTTATTCCTCTTTGATGCTTGATCGGTAGCTCAGCGTCGAGCTTGGTGAGTACTTCTGCTGCAACGGCTTCGAAGACCGTGTGCGCAAGATGAACAAGGGTGCCACCGTTCCCATGTCGGGAGGTTTCAAGGTTGCCTTTGTGCATGCTGTACTGGTTTCTTTCTTGTCCTCACATCGCAGGAGCACTCTTCCGGAATGCGCACTGAGGATGGCAGCTACGTCGGCGGAGAGGCCAACAGCTTCATTCTGTTCACTCCCGATAACCATGTGATCTACTTCACTGGTGACACTGCTCTTCATGGAGACATGGCGCTCATCAACGAGTACTACAAGCCCGATATTGCTCTGATGTGCATGGGAGGAGACTTCGCGATGGGTCCTAGCGAGGCTGCGTTCGCTGTGAACCGCTTCTTCACGCACGCGAAGACGGTGGTGCCGATGCACTACGGAACGCAGGGATGCCCCGGTACTCCTGAGGAGATGAAGGCGGAGCTGAAGAGAGACGACGTGAACTTCCTGGTCGTGGAGCCTGGCAAGATGTACACCTTGTAAAGGAGCGATTGTATGACTGATGGATTGTTTGTTGAAAGTGAATTGTTTCGTCGGGAAGAGGGAAAGGGGCGCAGCTTCCATCCAGTGAGTAGCCGAATCGGGGCGAACACACAGCGTTGTTGAGAATTCACCACTCTGTCTTTCTCTCCTCCATTCTAACTGGTACACCTCAAAATCATCTAAGAAAGGAGGTGGGCGTGCGGTTCACGCTAGTTACGAGCGAAAAAGAGAGAAGACGAAACAAACAGAACGTATGAGATCGCGTAGGAGACTCGGTGATAATGGTGAAATTCTTGATTGCACAGCGAAATGGTAAGATAATCCATTTGTTCGTTTTGAATGCTGATGATTCCACTCCCGCGGGGAATCATGAATATTATGAGATACGACAGAAAGACCACAACTCTTCAGAATTACATTTGTTGTTGAATGTGAATTCGCCCTTTCTGTAGGTTGTTCTTGTGTATGACGTGTGTATTCACAGTGCATAGGTTTGAGAAGCCAAACCAAACAGCATCATCACTTTTTCCCCCCATAATAAAATTGATTGCTCTTGAACTACTCTCCGCTTTTTTATTCTGTATTAAGTACGTATCTGCGAAGAAGAGGCCTAATCTGTGTAGCACTCAATCCTACTGATAATGGAAGCTATTAGAGTGAATATTGATCCTTGTGTGCAGCGTGAACCCGCGCCAAGTGAGTTTGTGTGTCCTGCCCAAGAATGCCTTCGTACGATTCCTGCTGATCAAAAGCAAAACCAGAAGCTGATCCGCGAACTGGCCGCTCTTCATACAACCACAGAGCCTAAACTGATCATCGTTCCGCGTTTTTTCTTTTTTGTCAACAATATTTCTGGAGCACGGATCAAGTATCAACATGGATCTCGTGACAAGGGAACGTTTGTGAGCACGAAGCAAGATGCAACGCAGTCCTCTCCCGTCAATTGCCAATTTGAAGAACCGAAAGTTCATCGTTTTTCTTGTCCGTTCGAAGGGTGCACCTACTCAACGACACGAAACAGTGACCTCAAGGTGCATATCCGAACGCATACGGGAGAAAAGCCGTATAAGTGTACATATCCTGGTTGCAATTACGCGTCAATCACGAAGTCGATTTTGAAGACTCACTTGCGAATCCACACTGGCGAGAAGCCTCTTCGCTGCCCTTTTCCTGGCTGCTCTTACCGATCTGCTAGCCATAGTAATCTAAAGGTGCATATCCGGACCCACACGGGAGATAAGCCGTTTCGTTGTTCTTTCCCGAATTGTTCGTTTGCTTCAAGTACGTCGAATGAATTAAATCGACATATGAGAATCCATGTTGAAGAGAAAGCCTTTCATTGTGATGTGGCTGGCTGTGGATTTGCTTGCATTAGTCAAAGTGAGTTGCAGAGACATAAGAAGAAGCACAACATTTGAAGTAAAGGATTTCTATGCGAGGAATGTTTGTTTGAGAGACTGAGAGGCAGAAAGAGATTATTGTTGGTACTGTTGGGGGAAAAGAAGGAATAAAAATAATCTTTAGTGGTTACTGGAAAGGGTAATTCTTCACTACTTGGGAGCAGGATATGAAAATAAGAGCAGTAACGTGCTTTGTTACAATTCGGAAAAATGATGACATAAACTCTATTCGTGAAAAGATCCAGCAGGCTTGCGAGGTCAACAAATTCATTTCGGACCGGCTGGAAGACAAGAATTGGGAGGTTTTTGGAATTGTGTGCTCACGAGTCTAGGTCCAAACAGTGCGCATCGTGACGAATTCTTTTGAAGATTACTGCGATTGCACGAACTCCCAAGCCACTTTTGAGCGAATTCAAGCCATTGTGAATGTAGCTAAGGGTTTTCGTTTTGCTCGGAATTAAGTTTAGCAAACCGCGTGTTTTTCTTCCATATTGGGAACTCCCGCACTGTAGCTGGGACCCAACTTCTTCCCCGTTTGCTCAGTATCCACCCTTCGTTGTCTGCCTGCACCACCATTGACGACTCGTTTGACAAGGAATCGCAAGAGCTCATCTCTGCCTGCGTTCAGAGTATTTGCCCAGCGCTCCCCTAACCTTTCGATGTGTTCCAGATCAGCCAGCTCAACCAGGGGACCGGGAACTTCAACTACACGATCGACTCCCACGTGAAGCCGTACTGTCCGTTCTTCCCAGGCAGCTACGGCTCCGCAGACCACGACTGGCCGCGCGTGTCGATCGCGACGGAGAACGGCGACGATCTGGTTCGGATCCTGGACGCGGAAGAGAAATCGATGGAGGACGTGTCGGTGTTCTTCAATTCGCAGTTCCAGCGCATCGAAGAGATCGTCCAGGAGGCGGTGAACTCGCTGAACAGCATGAGCGGCGTGTACGTGGAGTACAAAGGGCTGGACACGTCTTTCAATCCCGGTTCGCTTCTCCCTTGCTCTGCGCTCACTTCCAGGCCTTTCGTCGACGTCCTCGCTGGTCAACGCGCTCGAGCAGTACAACAGTCACCGCAACTACAAGAAGTTCCGGTTCGGAGACAGCGGGAGCTTGATGCTGGTGCGTCGCCTCACGTCGATCGCGCAGACGATGCAGGTGAAACGCGTGGGCTACTGCGGAATGATGCTCCCCGTGCTGGAAGACTGCGTGCTGGCCGAGCGGTGGACCGAGCGACGGCTGAACAGCACGATGTTGATGGCTCTCGTGGGGGTGGGGAGTGGGTTTGATGTAGTCCGCAGTGTGTGGAGTGGGGATTGACACCATGCCGCTGCCCAATACTGCCTATGCGAAACCGATGTTGATTCAGGCGATTATCGAAGATGTGATTGCGTTGGCGAGTGTAGGGATCGTGACAAGTCTCCATTGGGTAGAAATGGGACAAACCTCTTTCTTGCCGTATCTTTATCGCCCCCGACACGGAGGATTGCGGACTAACGAAGTTTGCCAGCCCGCATCTCTGCAATTGTCGTGTATACGATTTTTGGGGTGTTTGTTTCATACGTTGTCTATTTGGAACCTAAACTAGTTTTCGCAAATGAAGCTCTTGTGAATTGCGTTTTCCTACAGAAATAATCTGGAGTTGGGAAGTGGTTCTTCGTTCGATCTCGACACGGTCCCTCTTTTTACCAACGCTACCACAATGTACTAGGAACTCATCAATGCAATATGAAGTGTAAAATCGCAAGTTCCAATGAATACAGAAATGATCCTAATTTTCTGGATTTCCAGAATTCGGGGAAGAGCAAGATCATGAATATTTGAATTTACGTTTTTCGAACTGTATGCGTGGAGAAGCTTCTTATCGAAGTAAAAAACCAGGTCCACGCCCGACAGCATGTATTTGGTGTGGATCAACGGAGTGTACGCATTGTCGCTGCAGCGGTCAGATTGGGTGCAACCACAAAAAAGGAGAGATGTGCCAGAACGCCAGATACAAGCGCAGACTCGTTTGTAATTCGTGTGAGAAGAACAAACTCCGCGAGAAGCGGCAGAATAGCATATCGAGTACGGCAAAGAAAAAGAAAGCGAGAGCAACATCGAAAAGTACAAAGAAGCGCGAGTTATCAAAAGCTGTCAATAATTCGAAGCAAACAACAACCACCGACTCACCTGAGAAGAAAGAAATTGCCCCGGTGCAGTCAGGTAAGTTAGATACTCTGTTGAAAATGTAGTTGTCCCGACGACGTATAACATCCGGATTACTCTAAGTAATACAGGAGAAGTGATCGGCGTGCTTCCAATTGAAAAGTTGGACATCCCGTTGGCCAACATTCGTTTCAGCGTTGACTGGTATTTATCTTCCCACTTCCGGGGAAGCACATTTTATTTTGTGAAGGATAAATCCCTGGTCACTTTAGAGACTGAGTCTCATCTGTCCGTAGCTCAAATCTGTATCAGTCAAAACAACATCTACTCTATCTACATCCACCGTGTCGATAACCAAACCTTCCCCTCTCTCTCCACATTCCCCTACCATCCCTCCTACCAGTCCATGTCTGTGCTCTCTCAGCCTCGTCCATCGTCGACGTTCATCCCCACACAGAGCTCCTCTTTCTCAAACGAGGCCATGAACTATTTCAACGAGCCTCCTTCGCTCAACGAGCCGCCTCTCCAGCGCATCCTCCGCGAAGCCAAAGCGTCGGGGAAGATTGACGAGATTGTCAATCAGACAATGACGACAATCCCGGACTTTGGAATGGACGACGCGCCGCGCGAGATGGTGTCTCGCAATAGCTCTTTTTTCCCGTTTGGAAGCTGGGAAAATATGTACTCGGGGAATGGAAGCATGCTTTTCTCGATGTCGAGACCGGGGTCGATCGTGATAAACCCGGCGGGAAGCAATCTGTCGATGGACTTTAAGGATTCAAATTTTGCATATGAAGATATTTTGACCAAGTTAAGGGAGAGAGAATATGATGATACAGACAAAGGGGCTCCTTCTGTGTAAATAAATCTATTTGTACTTTAGAGGGGTGTTTGTTGGATATGTGAGAATAGGAAGGATCGATAAATGCGGGTGAGAAGGTAGTGGAAGGTGATTCAATGTGTGTTGAAAAAGAGAAAAAGAGAAAGAAGGAGGATTTCTTGTGAATTGGTTTATTGATTTTTGTACAAGAGAAAACACTATGGCGATGGCGACATAATGAATGCCATGGATATCAAAATCCAGTGTGACAGAATATAGAAATGACAGACGACAATACCCAGTTCTATTTCTTCGCATTATATGAAAATCCAAACAAATAACCACCCCAAACCAAAACACCTCAATGCCTTTCAATTAATTCGCTACAATTTCTTGCCGATTTATATCGCACATCCTACAACATTCACAACACAGACAAATTTCCTTCAATAAACCAAAATCAACAATCATTTCATTTCATTTCATTCACCGATAAACACTCCTCTTTTCCAATTTCCGTTACCAACTATCAAAATCACAAAAAAAACTATAATCCCATTGTAATTTCTTTCCAAACCCTCCAATTTCCTATCATCTGTTTCAAATACCTATATCTCACAAAATAAACATCCGAATAGTAGTATACTCTCCTCCAAATACGAGTAAATATCACAATTCCTAATTGATATGGGGCTAATTCACTTCAGTAATTAACCTTGAATAAAATAGGTACCTCCAAATCAAGCCCTTCCATAGAATCGATTATCAGAAAACCAATTTCTTGGTCATTAACTTAATCTTTGATCACGTAGGAAATTGATACGATGCAGCTGTGAACGAAATAATGAATTGGCTGTGTTTTTGAAAGAGCTGGTTGAGTTTGTCAACTGGACAGAGCAACTAACCGTTTTTAGACATAATGCCTTACCGTCATCCTAAGCTTTGCGTCAAGGGAGTCTTCATGGGTTACAGAAGGTAGGAGATTGCATTGCGAGAACCACTCATCGTTTAGAAGCAAGGTTCTTCAGAACACCAACCAGGCTCTGATTAAGATCAATGGAGTGAACACCACCAAGGACTCTCTGTTCTACATGGGAAAGCGTGTCGTTTACATTGTGAAGACCCACGCTAACGGAAAGGCGAAGACCCACTGCATGTGGGGTAAGGTTGCCGCCACCCACGGAACCAATGGTGTCGTTCGCTGCATCTTCAAGACTCATCTTCCTCCCACCGCTATTGGAAAGAACGTCTACGTGATGCTTTATCCTAGCCGTGTGTAATTAGAGATGGTTGTGTTTGATCAAGAATTGCACTGGAATATTTGTTTGATGGAAACAGCAGATAATAATAATAATAATACACTACTGGTTTAGAATCTTCCGATAGTGCGAAATGATCAGTTTCTCGATGTTATCCGCACATTTATAGTAGGACGTCGGCTTCTGATTGTACTTCTTCGCGTTGCTCACAATCAGCTGCAGATCGTCCAGGAATATTTTCTCGTCCTTGTAGTACTTTTGCTGCAGGCGGGTCTTCATCGTCCGCAAATCTACTCTCAACCACGTCTCCATCGCCTACCCATCGGGTGCTCGATAATATCCAGATAATCCGGAACGTCCTGCACGGCGACGGGCTCTTTGAACGGCCAACTGTCCGGATTGTTCCAGATGTCCTCCAAGACTTTCCCAAGTCGTTCCTGCAAACCCGACGGCGATTTCTCCTTTTCAGCGAGCGTCGCTTCTGTCCAGCCAGCCTCCCGCACCCCTGGGATGTCGAGAGGATTTGTGATGGGCGTGTCTGGGAGGTGGTAAATGTGGTGGAAGTGAGAGCGAGCGCAGATGTCGCGATAGACCGTCTCGCGCTGCCGCCCCATGATCTGCGTGACATCCTGGTAATTCACCTGTGGGAAAAGCTGGCAACAGCGCAGCGTGGCGCTGTCGTATTCTTTGATGTAGTATTTCCATTGCTTGCGCTCTAAGAGAATGGTTTCAGAAAAGCCCTGCTTCTTAAAGAAGCCTTTGGCATTTTCATCAGCATATGTGAGCATGTACTGCACACGCGTTTTCAGATAGTCTTTGAGATGGTTCATGAGTCTTGTTCCGAATCCCTACGAGTTGGCTGCTCCAGGATATTGGTACATTAATTTGCTCATCTGTTGAAACAGTACAAAAGACAATCTCCACAAAGTTGCGCTCTTTGAACATACGATAGGTGATTCCGCCGATTACACGGTTTTTACGCAGAACAATTAAATTTTGGTGTCTTCTACACAGTCATCATCAAGATCGTGCACACACTTATCAAATATTAAACGAACAATATATTCCTTCGGCATACGTGGAAGCTGACTGCTCACAACCATCTTGAGTCCAACAAGAAGATAGTTGTTTTGATCGCAGCCATCGTTCGTAACAACACAGAACGTTAAATCCCCGTCTCTTTCAAGGACCTCTGTGGACCCTTCTATAGTATCTATGTTGATCATCGACCCCGACATGGTTTAAATAATCAAAAAAAACAAAAAAAGAAAAAAAGCATTACTTTTATCTCCGTGTGGCTTGTATTGGATGGAGGACGACGGCCAACCTACACTGGAGAGTTTGGACAATCGGATTCAGGAGCTAGAGGAGGATATCCGTCAATACACGACATTTGTTCAACACTACATCGAAACGCGTAGGAAACTATAGAAATGTGTTTAAGGCAATGTAGACGATCTTATCGAAGATGTAGACAACACTGTAACACAGGAAGAAGTTGATCGTCTAATCGCATACGAAAAAGGCGATGCAATGCGTGTCAGAATCCAAAAGATGGACGGTACATCCTTTTGTATGCGTTATGGACTGTCGCTGAGACGTAGCTGTGATTGTGTACAAGTCTTCAACTGTGAATCACCTAAAATTAGCGATTCGTGATTTCCTCCTCCACCAACTTCCTGAGGGAAACAGAACGCGCATCTCGTGGAAGTTTGTGTGGAGGAAGTATTGTTTGGAGTGCGAAGATGGCCAGAAGTTGCTGGACAATCGGAATTATTTGAAGGATTTCGATGTGCACGATGGATCCACCATTCGGATGGCGATTAAACCAATCCAGCGACGTGTGAAACGACCAAGAGAGCCGAATCGGAAGAAGCGATTCTACAATCCGAATCTCTCTCGATAATTTATGATCAAAAAATAAAATATTATGATACTGTAATACTGTACTTGTAATTTTAAGGCGCATTCGGTCTGTTTGTTCACTCTAATTTTGTTAATGGCTAAATACATTCCGCCCCGTAACTTTAATATGGTTACGGACGATGTCTATCGGTGCATCACACCGACAGATATCAACTTTCCCTTTTTGGAGAGACTAAAGCTCAAGTCGGTGGTTTATCTGTCGTCGATAGAGATGTCCGAGTCACTGTATACATTTTACAAATTATGTTAGCCATAGAAAACTCTTTTTTAACGATTGCGGAATCAAGGTTCATAATGTGTCAAAATCCTTTGGTTCTGAAATCAACGAGGCCGTAAGAGAAATGGAGAGTGGATAAAAAGTAGTTAGTGGTAAATGCGCTGTTACTAATATTCAAACCGTCAAATCTACCCGTGATGATAATGAGTGATGAGAAGAGCAACATAACGGGAATCGTAGTCGCTTGTTTACGGAAGAAACAGAAATGGAACTTGTCATCGATCTACGAGGAATATAGGAGATACAACAATCAAATTGTATGTGTGCAGTTGGTTTCCTCATGACTAGTCCGATTTGGATAGTGAGCAATTCATTGAACTATTTGACCCAGACTTGGTGAATTCGGTGTCTGACACGTAGCTTTTGTAGGACGGTACTATTATCTTTTGTATTTGGTTTGTTCAATAAATTCTTTTCTGGGAGGTTGCTTTTCGTTTCGGTAGATTTATTTCTTTTGGTGATACGAGTCATAGGCCGTTTTTCGAATATTCTGAGCTATTGGTCCCATTCATCTCACAAATTGAAATGCAAAAAGGAGTATATTCTTTTATATCCAATGAGTCGTTAGGAAGAATCTGACAAGGAAAAAGCGTTTATGTTAGAGCAGCAAAACATTGCTCTTTCAAAGCAGTACTTTATCATCTCCAAAGAAAATGACGCGCTGAAGACCGAAAACTCGCGTCATTGCTCTCAGCTTCAAGATTTACAAAATGACTGCTTAGCGTACCAGTCCATTCTCCAGATGCTATACACCCGGCTGAAAAATCTTCTCCAACTGTATAATAAGCCCGATGTAAACTCGCTGACGATGTTGTCACGTAGGGTCCTTCCAATACAGACGAGATTGTGGATGTTTTTGGCTCGGGGTTCCTATCGGATGAATCGATCCTAAGTCTCGTGAAGTCATCCGTTCCAGCCATACTCTCTCCATCTCCCCGCGAGCCCTCCGAGTCCTCCGAATCCCCCGCAGACCCCACAAACTCCGAAGATCCCACATCAAAACGTCTCCGCCTCGCCTCTCCCGAAGCCAGCGTCCTTCTTCGCCAGCTCGAGTCTCTCGAAGCCTCTCACCGCACCGGCGACGCCCTCCAAAAATCGGCGCTTTTTCTCGACCAGCGTCGCAACGACCTTCTCCGCGCCGCCCTGGTGAACGCTCTGCAGCGTCTGCGTCTCCTCATGCAGGAGGTCGACTCGTACCGCTCCCAGGTGCATCAATTATCGCGGGAACAGGCCGCTTTGCAGCAGCAGCTCGAGCATCCCGCGGTTCTCGAGGACCAGACGTCCCCGCTCCCCGAGCCCTCCCTCCGCAAGCCCCGCGGGGAACCCTCTCTCTCCGCGAGTCCGAGCACTCCCGCGGGGGAGGCGGGAGAGGACGCGGCGCGGCTGGCGAAGGAGGTGAAGGCGCTGGAAGCGCAGGTGGCAGAACGTGGAACCCGAATCGTGGAACTGGAGTCCGCGTCGTCGAGACTGGAAGAAACCGTGGAAACGTTGAAACGGGAGCGAAGCGGGCTTCGGGAGGAGCTGGAGGATCTGAAAGAGCGCGCGGCGGCGGCGGCGAGTCTGCGTCGGAAGGAGCGGGAAGCGGTGCTGCGCGCGGTGGAGAGCGACGTGGCCCGCGCAGAAGCGAGTCGCAGCGCGGCGACGACGCTGCTGCAGCGCGCGGAGGAGCGACTGGAGGGCGAGCGGAGGCAGGGAGAGGAGGAGAAGGAGGCGATGCGGCGCGCGCGGGAGGCGGCGGAGCAGGCGGGGAAACAGTGGAAACTGGAGCGAGACGGGTTCGAGGGGAAGCTGAAGCGTCGGAAATTGTTCGCGGATGTGATCGGCGAAGTGGAGGGCGTGTCGGCGAAGCTCCGGAAAGTGATCAGAGAGTTCGGAGGCGACGGCGGGGACGCGGAGGCGCACATTCGCGTGCTGAAGGAGCAGATCCGCGATCTGGGCGACGCGTTCAAAGCCTGCGACGGCGCGCTGCACAAGACCAAAAAACTCGTCGAATTCGGCGATAAGAAAAACGACCAGCTGCTCAATGACTGCATGAAGCTCCAGAAAACCGTGGAAGACCAGCGCGGCGAGATCGACCGCGGGAAGGAGGCCCAGGCGAAGCTGCAGCGGGAGAACGCGGAGTTAACCGCGGAAGTGGAGCGTCTGCGGGAGGCGGGGAAGCAGAACGAAGAAGCGATGGCGAGCGTGCGGGAGGAGGCGGAGAACGTGAAGAAAACGGCGCTGGAGATGATTGGAGAGGAGGAGAGCTATCGACAGATGTGGAAACGGAGCGAGCGGAAGCGAGAGGAGATGGAGAAGCGCGTGGAGGAGCTGGTGGAGGCGAATCGGGGGCTGAAAATCGCGGGGATGCGCGATCGACGTCGATTTGTGGGGAGTTCGATTGGAATTCTGAGGCGTAGGAGGAACGGTTGCTGTCGACGAAGGACGAGGACGAGAGAGAAGTGGTGAACGCGATGCAGGAAGAGATGAGGCGGTATAAGGCGGAACTGATGTGTCCGCTGTGCAAAGTGAGGGAAAGAGATCGGGTTTTGATGGAAAGGTCCGGCCGAAGGAATGTATTTTAGCGAGGTGCCAGCATATTTTCTGCAGAGAGTGCATCGATGAGAGAATCAATGTGAGGTCTGGAGGGAAGGGTGAGGCGTAGAAGCGAGAACGGAAATGCCCGCGGTGCTTGATTCCCTTCGGGGTGGATGATGCCAAGAGGGTCTGGGTCATTAACGATTCGCAGCTGTTTGAGGAGTTGAAGGAGGAATCGAAGAATAAATGGAGTGTTTGTTTCAACTACCTTTGCTTTTGTCAATCAGGCATTCATTGCTCGTGGATCAGCATGGAGGAGGTTCGTGAGAGATTGTTGCAGCGAATTGGGGGGATGGATGATATTGTTGACTTGATTCTGGAGAGATTCAAGCAGGACGCAGATCCCAAGCCGTCGCGATTTGACCTGTGTGGCTAATGGTGTAGATTCTATGTTTCTCCCTCCTTCGTAGTTACCGGAGGCATTGGTAGCGGAAAGTCGTATATTGTCAGCGAAATTGTGAAAGCGATTGGTATTCCGCATCTGTTTATTAAATGTGCCTCGATCATTCAAGCAAATATTGGCGAGAGTGAGCAGTACTTACATGTGCGATCTTTTCGTTTCTTTTTGTTTTTATATTGTAGCAAGTATTCCAATTCGCAGAGAAGCACACTCGTTGTGCTCTTATCTTTGATGACCTGGAGATTCTGGTTCCTACTCTCTCCAATATTACTTCAATGGTCCAGGCGCGCTTGTCAACGTACTTTTTCCAGGAAGTGCGTCGCCATGTGCTCACGCCGAGTGGCTGTATCATTATTGGAATCGTCGCCCAAAGCCAATTTGGGTCGATCAACCGCCAAATACTTTGCTCTGGATATCTCAGCTGTACCATCACCATTCCCAAACTGGACAAGCGTCGCCGCCAAAAGCTTCTCTCTCTCTTTCTGGGCTCCAAACTCAACGAATCGCTCTTGGACGAACTCTCGGACCAAACCGCTTCCTACAGCGCCGCCGACCTCTGCGACTTCTGCTCGCAAGTGTTCAGCCATCTCGATTTGCAGTCCCGCCCCGCGGACGACCTCGCCCAATCGATCCTTTCCCTCGTCAAACAGCACGCGGCTTCGGTCACCCGCCAAATGAACGTCGTTCGCCCGCTTCCGGACGGATTCCGCGCTCTGATCGGGGTTTCATCGCTCATCCAGCAGGTCAACGAAGTGATTCTGAACCCTCTTCGCTCTCCCGAGATCTACGATTTCTACGATCTGCAGCCGCCGCGCGGCGCGCTTTTCTACGGCCCGTCGGGCTGCGGGAAATCGATGATGGTGGAGGCGATCGCTGCGGAAGCGGGGAAGGAAGTGCAGGTGATGTCGGTGGTGTGCAGCGATATTTTGGGGAAGTACGTGGGCGAAAGCGAGAAGAAACTGCACGATGTGTTCACGATGGCGCGGGAAGCGGCGCCGTGCATTTTGTTTCTTGATAATATTGAGAGTATTGGGCAGAGGAGAGGGAATGACAGCACGGAAGAGAAGTAAAATGCGCTCGTTTGGGTGATGAAGTAGAACGTTTGATCGACTGCTGTCGATTTTGCTGGTCGAAATGGACGGCGTGATGACGTCCTCGGCTCCCATCTATTTGATCGGATCCACGCAGCACATCGAGCAATTGGATCCCGCGCTGTTGCGACCTGGACGCATGGAGCATCACATCAAGTTCGATTTGCCGTCCAGCGAGGCGCGATTGGAACTGTTCCGCTTGTTTTTGAAGGATGTGGCGCTGGAAGACGAGGGGAGTCGAGCGTTTATTGAGAATTGGCTGACTGCCAGAACGGCGTGGCGATCACAGGCGGATGTGCGCGCTGTGGTGGTGAATGGGTTGATGGAGGCAATACGACGAAGTCAGGATCCGAGTGGAGAGATCCGAGTGAGGCAAAGCGATTTTGAGGTTAGTTTAGAGCAATTGAAATCATAAAATAAAAGGAGTAGTTTAATGCATTACTGTGTTGTTTGTTTGATTGTTTGATAATAACAAACACCGCAATCTCTGTTAATAGTAGCCGAGAGGAAAGATAATAAATATAGGAACAGATTGATAATATCCAGATACAGAACGAGCGCTCCAAAAACATAGTCATCCACGCCCAACTCCGCTCTGCCTTTTCCTCCCACAATCAGTTGAGTATCGCATACAATATAAGCAGAAAAGAGGAAGATGGCCAGGGCAGAGTAGATCGCATACGTGAAGGGTGACCAGATACAGAAAATACCAAAGAGGCAGAGAGACAGGCAGAAAACCCACAGATAGGGGTAATAACCAGTAAAATCTCGCTCGGTACTGGAGGCGTACAGAATCAGGCACACCACGATCACTGCGGTACCAACCATGGCCATGTACACAATGGATGGATCATAAAGGGACGTCGTGGAGGCCAAGAGAAGCGCTTCGACAATGGTCTAAACGTTACTCTCCCACAAATCAGTTACAAAGACAGCAAGAACAATCATGTTCTTCGGATACTCCACAAATACTACAGTGTTACAAAGCTTATTCTCTTTTACTTTGCGGCATGCAGATGCTGATTACCATCATGCCGATCATAACGATGAGAGAAAACATGGAAATGGTGAATGCATTACGATAAAGCCAGAGACGGAAAGATGCGACATTACTATGCGTAAACAGAGAATCGAATCCGTACCATGCAAGCAAAACGAGCCCGAATGTCACTAACAACTGTATTGCCAAGATCGTGAAGACCTTGCGAATGAATTGGTTGCGTACAGCCACCGACTGCATCCCAATGTATGTGCTATCAGATTGTTTTTCAACGTCGCGCATAATTTGCAAATCAAACAAAAGTAATTTTGAAAGAGAAGGAATATCACGGATTGTACAGTCTTCCAATAGAACTGTACGAACTCACATTATAGTGAGAAAATAGTGCCACATTGACAGTAGTGTCAAAACAGACTTGATAGAATGCTTTCAACAAAGGTTCTATGAAAAGTGACTTTGTGCTATTTCTCGTCTTTTCTTGCTCGTTCGCATTCGTAATTCGCTCTGATAAGGCCTATGAGTTCCCACACACGAAAGCGCAATTCGGTTTAGATTATCTAAACAATAGTACGGATGTGTGCAATATCTGATTCATAGCCTATTCCGGAATTCTGAAGGCTGTAGAACCCTTTCATGCGTGCTCGACGCTAAACATGAATTTAACGGGATACATTGGTTTAGCAATACGCGACAAACTCCAGAGTAATTGCTCTTTTTCTGTGAAGGCTGCAAATGTACTGTTTTCTATTAACATTTGAAGTGATAGATCCAAAATGCAGGGGCCATTGGAGTTGTTATTATGAATGAGAAGCCGTTGCGATGGGAAGTCGATTCTTTGATTATCATGGCAAACGATACAAGTGCTCCTAGTGTATATCATTGTGTAGTCTGCTCACTAGATTACGATTCCAGCGATTTTCGTCCAATATGAAAGCGGTGAACAGATTCTTAGTTTACTGTCAAACAGCTCCTTAATCGCTGAAATCAGCAGTCAGGGAGAAAGTAGAACTGTATCTGAAGTATATCATCCTTAGCCAAACCTGGTTCCTACAACTGGCTGGCCGGCATTTTTGGTTACCTCATCGTAAGTTCACAGTTTCCGCTTCATTCCCCAGCTCTTCGTGGCGATCAACCTGCTTCTGATCATTTCCAGCATTCTCATCGGGTGTTCGAACGTGTTTGGGATGAAGCAGAGCATCGAGAAGCTGAAAGAAATCGTTACCTTCAGCTACGATCCACCGTTTGCTTCCTTTTTTCTTGCCTGTTTACGCGTAGCGATGTGGAAAACGCGCCCGACTGCACGATCTGCCTGGAGACGCTGAAGAAGGGAGACGAGGTGAAGAAGCTTCCGTGCGGCCATGTGTTTCATTCGGCGTGCGTAACGCCCTGGCTGATGAAGAAACGAGCGGTGTGTCCGGTGTGTCGTCAAGGAATCTTCGAGGATGACATGCTTGTAGAGAGTGCGGATCGGTGGGTGAGGCGTAGAATTGGATGATGGAGGGGAAGCGAGATCGGAGTGATCATGTTGTGGCGTTGTGGGGTAGGAGAAGAGGATGGGAATGAAGGGCAGAGTTGAATTATACAAAATCGGTGACGTACTTCTATGGAATTGGTTTTTTCATTGTTGCCATTGTTGCGTTGGTAGTGTATGCCTTGTTTTTGTGCTGTGTTTGTTGGATTGAAGAAACAGGACAATTATATACACACTATTGAATGACGGCCAGGGGAGACAGCTGCGTGATGATCGGCGTGGCTCCCGCAGTCGTCGGCGTTGCGGTCAGATAGAAATACACCTGATTGCCCGGAGACAGATAGGGAACTACATGTTATCCACCCGTCCAAACTCTACGATTCACGGAGAACTGATCGCCCGTGATGGTCACAGGCGTCGTGTCTGTGGTCAGCGTGTTGCCCAGCGTCACTGTGTAATCTCCCCAGTTCACGGGGACGTTGCCCGTCAGCACTTGGAAGTCCTGGTCGCCGCCAGCTCCCGCTCCCAGATACAGCAACGAAACCGAGCCGAAGAACTCCAGTTGGTTCGGCAGCTCGGGGAATTCGTCGGCTAAACTCACTTCAGGACCCGTCGCGCCAGTCACTCCGGTCGCTCCCGTTGCTCCGGTCGCTCCGGTGGGTCCGGTAGGTCCGGTAGGTCCGGTTTCTCCAGTGGGTCCGGTGGGTCCAGACAATCCAGTCGCACCAGTAGGTCCAGTGGGTCCGGTAGGTCCGATCGGTCCGGTAACACCTCTCACTCCGTGGGGTCCTTGCGGTCCGGTGGGTCCAGTGGCTCCGGTGGCTCCGGTGATTCCGGTGGGTCCAGTGGGTCCGATCGGTCCGGTGGCTCCCGTAGCTCCTCTGTCTCCGCGTCTTCCCTGCTCTCCCTGCGGTCCAGTGGGTCCAGTGCCTCCGGTAGGTCCCGTAATACCCGTCGCTCCAGGCTCTCCCGTGGGTCCGGTAAGTCCCGGATTTCCTCTCGGTCCCGTCGGTCCCGTCACTCCCTTATGACCTGGCTCTCCGGTAGGTCCAGTGGGTCCCTGCGGTCCCTGCGGTCCTTGTACGCCTGTCCGTCCTTGCGGTCCCTGCGGTCCCTGCGGTCCCGTCACTCCCGTAGCTCCTGCGGGTCCAGTGTAGCCAGTCGGTCCAGTGGGGCAGTTAATGCACACAGTCGGCTTCACGGGGCAGACAGAAGGGTTCTCGAAAGCGCCCTGGTAACAGACGCTGCCTTCAGGAGCAGGGAACACCTCCGAGACCTTGCCATCCGTACACTGAATCCAAAAACCGGTGCAGTCGTCATTGACGATATCTCCCTTCTCGGTGGTGCAGAGGAATCCACAGAACGAGCAGGTGTTGTTCGGATTGACCAGACATCCCTCGCTGGCCACCATTTGGTTGTTGAGGCAGGCGAATCCGTCCGGTACGGGGAGAGGCGAGCTGATCTTATTGTTAATACACACCTCGTAGTAGGAGCTGCAGCCTTCCAGCACAGGCATTCCGATCCGATCCGTGCAACGCACACCGTTCCAATTACACTCGTAGGGCACCGGCTCGCAAGCACAGTCCGTCACAGCCACCATCGTGCCGTTGCGGCAACGCTTATCAGGCTCCACGGGCATCAATCCTTCCGTTTCTCCGTTCTCGCAAGTAATGCTGAACGAAACGCAGTCGTTCATATTCCAACGACCCGCAGAATCGACGCAGCGCGTTCCCTCCCAGTCGCAGGTCTGGCGGGGGCAGCAGTCCTCGCGAATGATCTGGCGATTGAGACACTGCAGTCCCGATTCGACGGTGACGATATCGGACAAGAATCCGTTGTTGCAGGTCTGGATGAAGGAGGTGCAGCGGTCATTGACCTGCACTCCCTGATTGTCCACACAAATGAATCCCTGGAAATTGCAGTTCGGACAGTTGGACAGCGCAATGAACTCGCCATTGTAGCATCGCTGATCGACGGGAGGCGTGACGATCACTTCCATCCCGTTCCGACAAACCAGAGCCTGCGTGGTGCATTCGGTGGTGGTGACATAGTTGTAGCTGTCAAGACACTTCATTCCACTCCAGGAGCATGGCGTATCCGTAGGAGTTTCTGTAGGCGCTGCGGTAGGAGCCGCTGTATGGGGTTTGGTTGGACACGGAAGCGTGGGCGCCGCGGTGGTGGGCTTGGGCGGGCATGGAGTTGTGGGAGCCGCGGTAGTTGGCTTTGCTGGAGCTGCAGTCGCGGGAGCAGATGTTTGAGAAGCAGTTGATCCCGAATCATCTGGAAATATTTTGTTCTGGCACACACTGTAGAGCACTTGGTTTCCATTGAGACAATACGCCCCGGGGGCGGTTTTTTGGGGCGTGGCCCACCCATTTGTGTCACAAATACTAAAGTATTGGGTACACGAATCATGCACTACATACCCTGAGGAAGTTGTGCAAGCAACTTCTCCAATAGATTCACAACCTATGTCAGAGTGACAGAAATGCGTGTACTTGCTGCGAAAACAACAAAACAAACAGCTGCAATAACAACGAGTCTGTTCAACAACATAGAATCTTTGCGAATATGAATAATACTTAAGGAGGTCTCTATTGACAACTTCTTCGCTTCGTGGATAAAGCACCCAGCTTTGACAAGGCCACCGAATCTTTTATTATTATCATTCAAGCTAAACTAGCTTTTTTCTGATTGTCAATAGGAATTGAAAGCGAAACAAAAATAAAACCATGATCGTTTCATCCATATTTTTGTGACACACACACCACAGCATCCTGGAACCAAATCGTTTTTATCCATTTATTATTACAGATAGTAGTAGGAAAATGGCGCATAAAGCGCGAAAATTTTTTCGGCCTTTTTTCTGCCATTTTTTTCCTGGCTGCCTTTTTAGGCCATTTTCTACCTGGTCACCTCGAGTACCACGGCGCATAAAGCGCGAAAAATTTTTCGGCCCTTTTTCTGCCATTTTTATTCCAGGCCTCCTTTTTCAACCTGGCTGCCTATTTCTACCTGGTCTCCTTTTTAGACCATTTTCTACCTGGCAACCTTGATGGCCATGGCGCATAAAGCGCGAAAATTTTTTCGGCCCTTTTTCTGCCATTTTTATCCTGGCCTCCTTTTTTCTACCTGGCTTCCCTTTTTCTGCCTGACCACCATTGCTGTCCATTGCCTGCCTCGATGGCCATGGCGCATAAAGCGCGAAAACCTTTTCGGCTATTGTCTGCCAATGTGGTAATTGTCTGTCCTTTATACACTGTTTGATAAAGAAAACAAAGTAAAAAACTTCTCCTTTACATGTCCTTCAATCGGTAATGTCCAAACGCAAGTGTGTGCACGTTGTCGTCCAAGATCCATCGCTTGTTGTCCGTGCACGTCATAAGGGTCTTGGTCTGCTCCTTCGTGCTGATATCGAAGGCCTGGTTGTTGATACGCTTGAAACTGCCTTCGATCACTGCATCTTCCTTCTTCTCTGCCTCAAGTACACGCTTGTACAAGTCGATGTTCTTCACGCTCATCCTCTCACCGTCAATCACGACGTTGCGAGGTACTCCCTTCGCTGCATTGTGTATCACATGCTTCTCATCAACCAAGCAGTACATCTTCGGTCTAAGTCCCACGAACTCCGTGATGCGATGTCCGTTGTGCTCGTCCTTGAAGATAGGACCAGGCAACTTCTTGTTGAAATTGAGGAACGAGTCCAATGAAGGGAACTTGCTCTTGTTCACTTCGTGATCGTAATACTTCACGAGTTCTCCATAGAAGTAGCTAGTGTTATCCAATTCCGAGAAGTCGAATGATTTGTACATGTCACACATCTTGTGAACGATGTTAGCGCGATCGTGCAGTTGCACGATGAGCGAATCCGTGTCCTGTCCCAACAACTCCACGGTGTCGAATGTGTTCTTGAGCACGTTGTAGTAGAAATCGTAGATGATGTGTTTGGACATGTCTAGAATGGCGAACCCGATGAAGAATGGCTTCTCCACCCTGCGCACCGGTGTGTTCAGCTTGATGCCAATCAAATTCTCGGAATACATGGTAGTCCCGGCGATCATGTCGTACCCATGCTTCTGAATGATTGCCTCACGTTCATTCCACGTGTTAGCGAACTTCACTTTCATCCGTTTCAACCCAGTCTCAACGAATTTGCCATAGGTTGAGTTTGCTAACAGCTTATACAGGTTCTTCTCCACGGTGGTCTTGGACTTGGCTCGTTTCTCACTCAGCATGTTCACATACTCGAAGATGAACGGTGCCTGCTTGAATCGAATGAGGTGGTGAATGTGTGTGACACGATAACCCTGTTGAATGCCCAGTTGCAACAGTGAGTAATGCACGAGATACTTTCGACGAGGTACAAGATCACAGATGAGCTTCGGTGTATTCACCTCTTTCACTTTGTCCACAATGTCGTTCTTCTCTGCGTACTTCTTGATTCCATCGGAGTACATGCCCGCCTTCTGTACGGGGAAGAATGGCAGATCATTGAACTTGTCGTGTAACTCCACTGGTGCCTCGATGTCACACTCGATGAAGAATCCATACTTGCCGAACGTCTTGAGTGATTGCACCCACCCATTCGGGTCACGATTGATCCTCTCCATCACTTCTCGTCGTTCGGGTACACCCACCAATTCATAAGGCATCATTCGATGCATGGCTCCACCGTACAGGTTGTTGGCGTCCAGGTAGTAGATGCCTTGGGACGACGTTGCTTGCTCCTTGTTGTCAATGTCAACCTTGGCATGCCGTTTCACGATCTGTGTGATTCCTCCTCGCAGGTTCTTCAACAATCGCATGAAGTCATCGATATCATTTGTCTCCATCAATCGAATGCCCTTGCTCTCATAGAATTCACCCATGCGATTCAAGAACACTTTCACCAGTTGTTTCTCGGCGAGTCCCTCGTTGGCGTTGATGCGCATGATGTACTGAGCCCATTTCCTTGCGAGGGTCATGAGGTTACTCTCACTATGATCGCCCTCCATTGTGACCTTCAAGAATAGCGAATAGGCCATTTGCGGTGCTGTGATGTAATGCATGGGATCAACACCGAATGCATTCAGTGTGGTAACGCGAAAATGCTCGAATGCATCAGCCATGAGAGTCACATCGAGTACATTGTACAATTCGTAGTACTCACCCCATGTCTTGATATCGAAGGTCTTCCACAGCTTCACCATGTGATCATATTCGTCTTGTGGCATCATTTCACCTTTCATATCATCAATGCATTGCTCACGAGAAGGAATGGTGGTGTTATTCAATGTGTCGTACGATTTGATGAGACTGTAGAACATGGGTTCTTTCCGTGTCAACAGATCGATGTATTCATCATCCCATTGCTTGCCTCGAGACTCGCAGTACTTGCGTAGTTGTTGTTTGGTGTGCACGTACAAATCGAGGTTGCCTCCAAGTGTCTGTGCAACGATGGAACGCAGTGGACTGCTGATGAGCTTCAACGAGTCCTTGAATTGAATGCCATTGTACTCGATCTGCATTTCCTTGTCCTCGGTGGTTGGAATGACTTCGAGATTCCCGCCAGGCATCGTCGCGATGAGCTTCATGATGAATGTGAAATCATAGTGCGATCCATTGTGAAAGTAAACTGGCAGACGATAGTTCTTCTTGTTGAATGAGAGTTGTAGGTTACACTTGGTGCAACAGGTGCAGATGTATTGCCCGGCTTCGAAGTGGCGTACTTCTCCCTTTCCTGTGGTGTATTCACCTGCCACATGTGCATGATGACGTACCTTGTCGTCCTCCAGTTTCTTGCGACAGAAGGGACACACGGTTGTTGCACGAAAGTCCTTCTCGATGCTCGGAGAGTTCTCGAGGGGTAATTCATCGAATAGATATGTTTTCACACTCCCTTGCAATTGCACGAGATAGTCCATGAAAGGACGAAGCTCTTCTTCGCTCTCGTGTGGTGCATGGAAGACTCGCAGTTGGGTATCAATGGCAGGAATACGTGACACGGCTAGACAGGATAACATGATCGGCTTGTGTCTGTTCTTGTCATCAATGGCTGACTCGAAGTCAGCGTACACGACGACCGGTGCTGGCATTTCGTATCGCTGGTTGGTGAATCGCAACCGAGTCTCCTCGTTCGCCAACTCGTACTCTTCGCTTTCATTGACGAGTTCACGATGTACTTGTACTTCGTGAGCATGAACGGCTTTGCGAGATCCGAAGAAGTCGTCACAGAACCTGCACTTCACGTTTCTTGCTGTATGTCTATTCTTCACATCACTCTGACGAAAGATACGATGTTTGAAATCGTTCAAGTCCTTGATGTACAAGAAATGCTTGGGAATTTCTTCCCCCTCCCGTGTATCATTCACGATGCAAAGTGACACACATGGGGCAACTTCGTTGCCCCGGGAGCAACTTCGTGGCGGAACTTCGTTCCGCCGGGGGAGCGTAGCTCCCCCACTTCGTTGCTCCCCACATCCACCCTTCCTTTTCGGCTTGTACACTTGATAACATGTGAATAGATCGTATTTATCCTCGGAGTTGTCATCGTATCCAGGCAAGAGTGTGACCTCGAATACATTGAGAGAGACTTTCAACAGTTCTTCCAATCTCGCAAAATTCTCTTCACTCGCGTTGAAGGGTGCATTGTCGCGAATGTTCATCGCCTCCTCCACCTCGTGAATGGCCACTCCGAACACCTTGTTCTTGTCGGGTTGCTTCCACCACTTGTTGTACACACTCGCATCGCCCATCTTGCGATTTGCAATAATCTTGTGCCCGCCTTCACTTGCCAGGATGAGACACCGTTGTAGGCATCGGTTGTCATCGATGTTCGGGTTGACCGCCGTCTGTCCAATGATAAAAGGTGTGTGGTGCTTGTAGCCCACGAATGTCCGTAGTGGGAACATCTCGACATGGAAGCCGATCCACCCATGGTACACGAACCCGCTTCCCTCTGTCTCCTGTTCCTCTACACCATTTCGGTACCACTTCAGGTAGTCCTCGATCCACTCATCGATACGATCTCGGCGAACGATGCGGAGGTGTCCCAATCGATCATCGGTGAGGTTGAGAATCTTGGGATCTCCGTCA